CTATCTCTATAGTTATGCTGCTATAGGCTTAGACTGCTGGAGGACATAGGGACCCCTTTTTCATCATTCTGTATCATTCTATCTCTATTCTCCCACTCTGCAGAATCTGTTAGTTCAATCTCTAACGTTCTGCTCTCTCTGCTTTTTCTCATATAGCTTCATCTGGTCTGTTCCTGTTTGGCTGTGAATCCATCCTGGAGAGAAAAAAACAAAACAATAAATGAATGTTTAAAAACATTGGAGAGAAAAACAACAAACAAATTCCCCCCTTCTTTCCTGAGTTAATTTACCTCTATTACATGTGCGAAAAGGAGTAGGAAAACGTAAAATTTATGTGCTTCTACCCCCTTAAATCTTGCATTTCTTTCATTTACAATATTTATAATTATGTTGCTATATATCCTTATAAATACATACCTACCTACACATATACATACATAAATATGTATACACATATACTTTCATATATATATACAAATAAACAAAACAAAAAACACAAAACTTTCTACAATGCTTCTCTATACATTTGAAAATAATTTCTTTGTATATTCTTTTGGAAAGGAATATGTTTGGGCATTGCTTTAGGTTCTCATTTAGTTTGTTTCACAATTTAACTTCGCAAATTGATAAACATTTGTGTTTTATAGGAGGCTTCCAGCAAATCTTGTCATCTATGATCACTCCAAGGAATTTATTTTCATGTACTCTTTCTATGTTAACCCCCTCTGTCTGTATTTGTGCTTGATGCTTTTACTTACAGTTTTCAAATACCATGAATGTAATTTTACTCAAATTTATTGATAACCTGTTTATGTCAAACCGTTGTTTTATTTTCTTTAATTCTGAAGGGATTGATTCCAAGAGTTGCTGTAAGCTGTCCCCTGATCCAAATATGTTTGTATCATCTGCTAATAATACAAAATTCAATACTTGAGATACTTTACAAATATCATTGATATATAATAAAAATAACTTTGGTCCCAACACTGACCCCTGGGGGACACCACAAGCAATGCCCAGACATTCAGACCAATAATCTCCCATCTTCACAAATTGTTGTCTGTCTCTCAGGTAACTACTTATCCAGTTTAGAGCCACCCCCACACCCCCACCCCCCGATTCGTTCCAGTTCACTGATTAATATTTTGTGATTTATTGTATCAAATCCTTTTTTTAGATCAATAAAAAACCCAACTGTATTTTTCTTCTTATCTGTGGAGTTTGTAATTTCTGTTTTCTGTTAGTACTAGTGATGTTGATCTATTTTTCTAAATCAATATTGGCTGTCAGTGAGTACTTTATTTTTATTAATAAATTTCTCTAATCTGTTGGTAAATAATTTTTCTAAAATTTTTGAAAATTGTGACAGTAGAGAGACAGGCCTGTAATTTGTGAATTGGTGTTTATTTCCAGTTTTATATAACGGTATGACTTTTGCTATTTTCATTTTTGTTGGAAATTTACTGATTGAAATTGATAAATTGCAGATATTCGTTAGTGGTTTGGCGATCCCCTCTATTACTTTTAATATAATTTTTAAATCTATTCCATCGTGATCAGTGGATGGTTTGTTTTTGCATTCTTTAGCAATATCAATTATTTCTTTTTCATCTACTGCTGTCAGAATTTCTTTCTATTGGCTTCTTATATTTACTTTCTAATGATTGTGGAACCGGGATTTGTTCAGCTAAGTTTGGTCCCACATTTGCAAAAAATGTGTTGAAGTTATTAACCACATCCTCCATGTTATTAATATTTTTTTTTTTATCATTCTCAATGAAGTAATGGGGATAAGTATAAGTAGCCTGTCTATTATTTTTTTTATAATATTATTTTAAATATTCCACATACCTTTAAAGGAATAGTACACCCAAAACATGATTAGCCTTCATTTTCTACTCACCCCCATGCTGAACAACACTCTGGAGTACTTTTTTGATATCTCAAATGCATCTGGAGATCTGGGAGGCTTCTTGCTGTCTGCTGACATTCAAATAATGGAGGTCTATGGTGCCCGAGGCAGAAAGGTCCATAAAAGTCCACAAAAAACGTGTCAATATTCCTCCATACTGCTCGTCCAATGTATTCCAAGTGTCCTGAGTGGGTAGCATCCAGAATTTACTCGAAACAAAGTCATTTAGAATGTTTTTAGAGCATAAACACTAGTGTATAGGATTTCCTAAAAGCGCGTTCACGAGTCTACGGAAACCGCGGCAGACCAAACCAGATGAAAGTGCGCATTCAGCTCGGCAAAGAACTCATGCTCTTCCTCAACACTGAAGTCCTCAGACATTTTTCTTTCGTTGTTTCTTTCTTTGCACAGGTAAACAGCACATTTCTTCTTCTACGCTTGCATTATCGGCAGAGCAGACGCTGAATGCGCACTTTCGTCTGGTTTGGTCTGCCGCGGTTTCCGTAGTCGTGAACTCGCAGGCGTGCGCTTTTAGGAAATCCTATACACTACTGTTTATGCTCTAAAAACATTCTAAATGACTTCGTTTCGAGTAAATTCTGGATGCTACCCACTCAGGACACTTGGAATACATTGGACGAGCAGTATGGAGGAATATTGACACGTTTTTTGTGGACTTTTATGGACCTTTCTGCCTCGGGCACCATAGACCTCCATTATTTGAATGTCAGCAGACAGCAAGAAGCCTCCCAGATCTCCAGATGCATTTGAGATATCAAAAAAGTACTCCAGGGTGTTGTTCAGCATGGGGGTGAGTAGAAAATGAAGGCTAATCATGTTTTGGGTGTACTATTCCTTTAATATTGTTTTTATTATTTTCTAATAATTTTGCATAATATTCTTTTTTACAAGATCTCATAATGTTATATATAACTTATTCTTATATTTCTTATATTTCTTTTCAGTCTCTATATTTCTGTGTTTTATAACTTCTCTATAAAGTTGTCTATAAATTCACCTCTGCATTTAAGCCATCCTCATGGGGAGCAGTGGGCTGCCATCGTGCGGCGCCCAGGGAGCAGTGTGGGGTTAAGGGTCTTTGCTCAGAGTGGCAGTCTGTGGGAGTGGGGCTTAGAATCCCTCAGGATTCCAAGCTCTATACCCTAACCGCTAGACCACCACTCCCCCTAATGTAAATGTATTGAATTTATTTCCTTTCATCTCAAACAACTTAGTTTGCTCATAAATAGCTGTAAATCTAATGTTACAATGATTGTCTCATAATTGTTGCTTATATGACTGGACAAGCTTTTATTTTTTTGCCAACAATAAATAGTTTTGTTGTTATTCTTGAAATGAGCGGATGGAATAAAAGTCTGCTTATTAATATATTACTTCTACAAAATGTGTTTCTGTTATCTCCACGTTTTAAATAAAATGTGTTTGAAAAGACAGTCAAAGGTCAAGGCGTTCCTGGTCACATGGCCGCCAACAGAGCTCCTCCACTGGGACCTGGCTCTGGGTGGCGCCATTCCCCGCAGTCCCAGGTGGATTCAAGCATTTGGCTGAAAGGAAATGCAAACAGCTGCTGGATGGTTGGAGTGTTAAACTGAAAGCTGCTGAGGAAGATCTTAGAATCTAAACAAGATTCAGAGGCTTTAAAAACGTGTGCAGATATGAAAACAGCAGACACCGACATGCATAATCTGCATCATGTAAACCATCCTGGGTGGGGGAAGGAAACCATCTCAGATAAATCATAACTGGGCTTTCAAAAGCTTCATGTTAAGAAGTGTCTGATGCATGTTAGACTCTTTGTTAAAAAGGTTTTGGTTATATTGCCAAATGTTTTATCTGACTTTGTTTTAATGTCATCAAAGATAAAGTTGAGGTCCAACAGCCAGTGATAAACTCCTTTTTATGTCAGCTCACTTCAACATGATCAAGTCTTTAAAGGGGGTCATTAACTTTTCATTTCATCAAACATACAAAAACACAACTGTTAGGTTAACTGGCATCTCTAAATTGTTCTTAGGTGTGAGAGAGTCAGCATGGTTGTGTCTCTGTGCTGCACTGCAACGGAGCGGCGACCTGTACCCTGCCTCTCATCCATATATTGATGGACGGCTAGGCACTGCCTCCGCAAACTTGAGGGAATAAGCGGGACAAGATGTAAGTTTTAGTCTGTGAGGCAGACATTGTCTACTTTTACTTTCTTTTTTGATAAAGCTTCTAGTTAGAGTGGCTCAGGTTATCCTGAGCTATCTCTATAGTTATGCTGCTATAGGCTTAGACTGCTGGAGGACATAGGGACCACTTTTCTTCATTCTACTTTAATCCAATTCTTTTTTAAGTATTTGTTTGTTCAGCCCCCTAACTTTACATTCTCTCTGCCTTTTCTGATCACAACAGCTCAGTAGGTCTGTTCCTGTTTGGATGCGACATAATCCTGGATAGAAATACCAGCAGGGCTGCTGCCATCAACACCTTCGTTTATAGAAGACAGAGTTGGACCTGACACGGCTATGGACTTAGTTTTTACTGTGGCTGGATGTATGTGCTTTTTAATATTTTTTGGCGTTAAAACTGGCTCAGAAATCTTACCTTTTTCTTTCCTTAAACAGATCCCCCTCGAGTTAGCTGTACTACGTTCCTTCTCTAAGCCTGTTTGTCTCCTTAAACCCCAGTCGGCCTAAAAACTAATGAACTCATTTAAGTCCATCAAATACCAGGTAGTACAATAGTAATTTATTGGCAACATACATAAGATTTAAGCAGGCTGACATCCATTTAATGTTAACAGGGTAAATGTGGAAAGTCATTTCTGTTGCACCTTAGAAAGCATCAAGTTATGTAAGCTTCAGGTCTAATAGTGAAATTATGCAGAGCTGTTTAAAATGTCTGAGCAATATTTAACCAGGTGAGGGATAACTGTGGCTTCTGGGATTCAAACTTATGCCGAACTGATCTTTTTATAAACAAAAACTCATCTTTTGATTAGAAGATTTAGCAGAAAATCAAATAACATTTTATGTCCTGTATGAATATTTGTGAAAACACGGACAGCCATTTCACAAAACGACAGGAATGATGTTAATCAGACAGTTTTATTCTTTCAGTCGAGAAACACACTAAAGTTCACTCTAGAACATGCAGAGATGAACATATCAGAGTCTGGTTATCCCAGCAGAGTGCTACTGTACCACAGCCACTGTTAGAACATTGATTTGTTTTATAAAGCAGGACCCGTAGAGATGCACAATAATCAGAGATGGGTGGGCTGCTTTCTAATGACGGTTAATATTCAGAAACATTTATCCTGTGAGAATGTTTCAACTTGTTGCACATTTAAAACGGCAAGACTTGGATTTGAAACCGTTCTTTTAATGAAAGAAAAACCTTCTTAGATCAGCTTTCTGATTTTGGAGCTCCAGATCGATTTATCCCCACCTGTTGTTCTATCTCCTGTTAGACTGGATGAGGTGAAGATGCTCTTTGCTAAATCCTTTGCTTCACACAGAGCTCACCTGGAATCTCATCAAAACCAGCCTTTCAGTCGCTGCGAATCCTGAAACACATTCCAGACCTGTTGAATCAGGTCCAAGTCCTCCTCAGGCCAGAGCTTTGGTCTAATGGGAGGTTGCTACATACTGTTGCTTTGCAGCTTTATTAATTGCTTTATGATCTAAATGGCTCAAACTGCATCGGTTTACCTTTTTTTTTTTTTATTTGCTAGCTAAAATTTTCAACCACCGACAACCATGTGTGAAACATCTGGACCCAAAAACCGAACGGTGGTTAAAGCAGCGGAAGCAGAGAAAAGCTGCAACTTGTTTTAATAGAAAGATGCTCTGAGGGTACAGGGTGAGAGGACACCTTCATGATCACATTAAACTAAGAGACGATGGCTGTCAATGTTTGCTCTCTCGCCTTGACGACAGCAGGAGGGGGAGCAGGTTGAGAGCGGGTCTGTGCTCCTGCACCCCCAGTGCGACTAGAGCCCCCGTTAGGAGAGAAGTTACTCTTGGAACCACAGGGGGCTGAGCTGGCATCACCTGAAACAGAGAAAACAGACAGAAGCGTTTACTGGACCGACTGTGGCTGCGATCCCATACGGGAACCAGAAGCCCCTTTCACTGGACGATACTGGTGAGCATCTGATGCAGCTCTGGGTTCAAAACCACATGCATGAGAAAGAAGGCAGAGAGGAAGGAAACAGGAACATCGCCTGGAATTAGTCAAATTCAAACCACGTTACTGCAGGGATGGAGGTTTCTTCGGGATGGTGGTTTTTTTTCCAGGATAGTTTTTTTTTTTTGCATCTGGAAGAAACTGTTTCTACCAGTTTCTTTCGATAGAAACTTGACAGGTCAAATTTACTGTAAAGTTTTGTTTCTTTTGGTGAATATTGTGCCTTAAGGGGCCCAGATCCAGTGATATCCTGGGGGGGGGGGGTGAATGCAGGAGGAGCAGAAGACATGAAAGAAAAAGAAAGCCAGCTGGTGGAATCTGAGGATAGAAGGAAGTGTTTTCTTTCTTACCATTTAAAGCTATTAGTAAATTATCACTTCTGTATTACATATGTCATTTTCTGATGGGTTTTCTCTGGTATGCATAAATGCAGTGTTTGCACACGGTTGTTACTTTTCAAGTTCTGTGACCAATAGTTATTCATTCATCTAGATTTGTATTACAAAAACTTAATAAATTATATAAATTCTTAATCTGTCACTGTGTTTATTCTCATAAAGATTTCTCCTTATGTAGCCTGGTGGATAAAGTGAGTTGATTTTTCAATTCAATTCAGTTTATTTCTATAGCTCCAATTCACATCATGTCATCTCAGGTCACTTTCCAGTTCACCAGATCATCCAGTCAGATTGATTCAGAGTTTTCTATCTAAAACCAGTTGATTGCATCGACTCATTGACTCTTCAGCAATCCCTCACACTAAGCATAGTTCAATGGAACTATCCCAGTTCTCCAAAAGGGGGAGAATCCATTACCAGGACAGTCTTCCAGTTGAGCAAATATTTCTAAAATGTTATATTGGAGGAGAATCTGTGTATGGTTCGTTCTTTGGTTTTTTCGTTTCAAAACAAAAACTAAAAAAACAAAACAAGCATGTGGTTTTTTGTTTTTCCATTTTTAAAACTAAATTAGAAAAACAGCATTTGCAAAAATGAAAAAAGGGTACGTTTTGGGATTTTTTTTTTAACTGCAATGGTTAAACCAAAGACTAACTTTTATTTTGTTGTTAATTCAACGGACCTTATGGCAGAACCGGAAATGAAGACCTGAACTCCCAACACATAACTTTTTTAGTTGCCAGTAGGTGGCGGTAATGTACGCCTTCAATTTCTTGCCAATCGCCATTATAATCCACAAGAAGAACTTTTTCAGTTAGCATTACCAAAATGGAAACGTTTGGCTCTGTTTGAAATCCTAGGCTGCATCCTCCAAGGACGCGGTCTACCAAGACTGGAAGAAAATAAGGAGACCGGAAGTGTTTTGGCTGTGAAGTTGAACGGGTCTACCATTCGGCGGGTTTTACCGCCGTATGCTCTGTTGCTTAGCAACCGTGAAAGTTCACACACAAAGCAAGAAAAAAATGAAAACCGAAGTTTTCAAAACTGTTCATCTAAATTTTCATTTAGATGGCAAAACAAAACTCAAACGCTGTTGATTTTTTATTAATTCGATTTTTCATTTTTTCGATTTAGGTTTTAAAAACGGAAAAACAGAAAAACCACATGCTTGTTTTGTTTTTTCTCGTTTTTGTTTTGAAACGAAAAAACCAAAGAACGAACCATAAATGGATTGAGGAGCTTTATTAACTTCACAAATTAATTGTATATACTGTATTTTCTGGACTATAAGCCAATACTGGAGATAGGAACCAGCATCCTCTGCTCCGCTTGGGATAAAAGTGACAGAAAAATCGATGGATAAGCCACTACTTTTTCCCCATACTTTCAACCATGCGGTTTATAAGAAGCTGCAGCTTTCTGTGGATTTTTCCTAACCGCCAGAGGGGGAAGTCAAAGTGTGAAATGAAAGAATAAGGGGCTAATTTTCATTTAGCATAACATGCTAGGAGCAGGCATGATGGAGAACAAATCTCCCCAATTCAATGACATGCAGGAGCTCAACTCCTGCAGAGCTGAAATAAAGAGCTGAAGAAGCCCCATCTTTCAGCAGAAGCTCCTACTGCTGCGAGATAACAAGCTAACGGGAGCTACTCAGGGGGCCATATGTAGAGCTCCCCCTACAGGTTTGGTCGGAGATCGTTCAGTAGATATCAGCGGCTTACAGCCCGGTGCGGATTACACAAGAGGAATAGGGCCACTGGGAAAAAAAATAAAAAGTTAACTGATTTTTAACTTTTATTTCAATATAAGAAGAGGGAAAAAAGTCAGAATTCAGACTTTCACCCCGGAATTCAGACTTTAATCCCGGAATTCAGACTTTAACCCCGGAATTCAGACTTTGATCCCGGAATTCAGACTTTGATCCCGGAATTCAGACTTTGATCCCGGAATTCAGACTTTGATCCCGGAATTCAGACTTTGATCCCGGAATTCAGACTTTGATCCCGGAATTCAGACCTTCACCCCGGAATTCAGACCTTCACCCCGGAATTCAGACCTTCACCCCGGAATTCAGACCTTCAGCCCGGAATTCAGACCTTCAGCCCGGAATTCAGACCTTCAGCCCGGAATTCAGACCTTCAGCCCGGAATTCAGACCTTCAGCCCGGAATTCAGACCTTCACCCCGGAATTCAGACCTTCAGCCCGGAATTCAGACCTTCAGCCCGGAATTCAGACCTTCAGCCCGGAATTCAGACCTTCACCCCGGAATTCAGACCTTCAGCCCGGAATTCAGACCTTCAGCCCGGAATTCAGACCTTCAGCCCGGAATTCAGACCTTCACCCCGGAATTCAGACTTTAAACCCAGAATTCAGACTTTAAACCCAGAATTCAGACTTTCACCCCGGAATTCAGACTTAAACCTCGGAATTCAGACTTTCACCCCGGAATTCAGACTTTGATCCCGGAATTCAGACTTTGATCCCGGAATTCAGACTTTGATCCCGGAATTCAGACTTTGATCCCGGAATTCAGACTTTGACCTCGGAATTCAGACCTTCAGCCCGGAATTCAGACCTTCAGCCCGGAATTCAGACCTTCAGCCCGGAATTCAGACCTTCACCCCGGAATTCAGACCTTCACCCCGGAATTCAGACCTTCACCCCGGAATTCAGACTTTCACCCCAGAATTCAGACTTTCACCCAAGAATTCAGACTTTCACCCCAGAATTCAGACTTTAAACCCAGAATTCAGACTTTAAACCCAGAATTCAGACTTTCACCCCGGAATTCAGACTTTAAACCCAGAATTCAGACTTTCACCCCGGAATTCAGACTTTAACCCCAGAATTCAGACTTAAACCTCGGAATTCAGACTTTAACCCCGGAATTCAGACTTTCACCCCAGAATTCAGACTTTCACCCCGGAATTCAGACTTTAACCCCAGAATTCAGACTTTAACCCCAGAATTCAGACTTTAACCCCAGAATTCAGACTTTAACCCCAGAATTCAGACTTAAACCTCGGAATTCAGACTTTAACCTCGGAATTCAGACTTTAATCCCAGAATTCAGACTTAAACCTCGGAATTCAGACTTTAACCTCGGAATACAGACAGAATTCTGACAGCTAACAAACATGTTAGCATCAAGCCTTGGCCATGTCTGTTTTAGAGACTAGCTCTCTTGTTTTAATAACGTTCTGCTCTTCCATTAATGAAATAGCATCACCGGGGACCCCTCGGGCACGTAAAAAGTTGCCTAATTTTCCAATTTTCCACCAATGTGTTACAAGCCCTCCCAAACCACTCCCATCTAGGTCAGTGAAGCTAAGTGCTCCCGCATCTCTGCCTTCATGGTGTCCATCTACAATAAGATCCACAATTCTGAGATTAAAGTCAGAATTCTGACTTTTTTCCCATATCAAACTGAAATAAATGTTTAAAAATCTGTTAACTTTTTTTTTATTTTCTCAGTGTCTCTAATCCTCTTCCTTAGCGGATTGTATAAATATGTTCCAGTTTTTTTTTTTTTTTTATTCAATTGGTGCGGCTTACAGTGAGGTGCGCTCTATAGTCCAGAAAATACGGACGTCATGTGGTGATGGATCAGATACTTTTTTGGTGTAATTTCATAAGCATTGAAACCTTAAACAGATCAGGTATCATTTCGCTTGTAGAGGTTATAAAACATTTTAGGTTAGCTCAGTAATCCAGGATTATTGTGAGTGGTTGGTTTCAGTGCTTTTCCCATAAATGTGTAAAGGTTATAAGATCAGTGACTTCCTAATGTAATTCCTTCACCTTATGCTAAAGTTGTGACGGGACATCAACACTCGTACCTTTTCAACTTTGTGACAATGAATGAGTCCATCGTGTCCGATGTAAAATGTTGAAAATGCGTCATATGACCTAGAAGAGACGATAGTGAGAATAAGTGAGATTAGAAACATCTTTAAAACATGAAAATCCGCTCTCTACCAGAGGTTGATCACCACGATTACCAAAAGAAAAAACATTTGTACGTCAGAGTCAGAATCCAAGTGGTTATTTAAAAGACGATATTTTCTGAGAGGGGAACGCCTGATGCATCCTGATGATGAAAGACTTCCAGGTTGGTTTTCACAGCTTAGCCAACCATGAAAGTCATTCAAGGTAGGGGCGTCTTCCCTTAGATATTACAGCTCTGAGAATTGACCCATATTAGCATGAATCACAGCATATTTGACTAATTATTTCATATTAAACAGAATCAGAGAGTTTCTATCACAAGCCAACATTTTGGATGCATTTAGATATAATCCAATTTTAGTTTTTTGGCTAATATCAGACCGATATCAGATATTAAAGGGGAACACAATTTTTTTTTTTTACATTGGGCCCTTGATTTTCCGTTATTCCATCATGGTCTACTCACTCATATGAGTTTAGTGTCATTTGGAGCCGTTCTGAAGATATTCCGTTAGGTTATATCCAAGTAACGTCTTCCTATGAGCAACGACTTGAAGGCACAAACTAAACTGTTCATCATTTATTCTTTATGGTACGCCAGCATTCAGAACATGGAGGCCAATCACTGTCCCCCAGACATCCGCGGCGTGTGTATGACATCATCAGCGTGCGTCGGCTACCGTTCATTCTTCCTGTCCGCTGAACTGCTGCTAGTTTTCCTCTCATGCCTGGAAGATGTCTAGTGCTGCTACCACAGATGATCTCGCTCTCCAAATGAACGATTCAGATTAGCTAGAATGAATAGAAGGGGTAGAGCGTAGCCGCCTGTGGCACGGGCTGCCGGTTACGACTACAGTCCGGCACGCTGATGATGTCATACACGCGCCGCTTTGTTTAAAAAAAATATAAATATAAAAAAATCAGTCAGAATTAGGAGGAAAAATAAGTAATGTACTAAACGTGTACTTCAGTACAGTAACGAAGTATTTGTACTTCGTTACTTGACAGCTCTGTTACCTCTCACAAGTACAGAGCAATGAAATTAACTCTCTGCATTTATAAGGAGGAGTGTTGGCCTAGTGGTTAGAGTAGTGCGCTTGTGCTCTGAGCAGGTTGCAAGTATCCGGTTAGATCCTGCCACTCTGTGTTCCTGAGCAAATCCCTTAACCCCATACAATGGCAGGATATTAATATCGCATTGGGACACACTACCCCTACAGAGCCGTTTCTGTAGAGTCCTGGTTCGCCTGTTAACTCAATCCTGGAGACTGGAACAGCGGTTAAGGGTCAGGGACCCAGAATGTTGGTCCGTGGGAGTGGGGCTTCAACTCAGAACCAGTGTTAATTTCGTCAAAGGCCCTTTTTCCCGTGACGATGACGAGACGAAAACACACAAAAATTACGATCCATGGACATTAAGAAATTAAATTGTTTAGAATGAATTTGTAATTGTTAATATACGTGTTTCTTGGATTTGGGTCACATCAGGCTGCGGTGTGAACGTAGCCTTATGGGCCTTTCAGATAGGAAGCGATTTGCGCTGCGCTGGCCGCGGGGTTCAGCGCATTTGCGCTGCGCCGGCTGGGTTGCCGGGTCTAGTCATTTATTTGTTGTTCCAGCTTTTGGTCAGCAGCAAATATGTATCTGACCCGTGCTAAGAAGCAAGCGCTAGCACTAGCCCTGCTAGTTCGAAGAAAAAGAGCAGCAAGAAAGAAGAGGCTGTGGGTGCACGAAACACTCAGGTCCAGAGAGCAGCTTGGGGAGTTCCCGCTTGTGAAAGAAATTGCAAACTTGTGTCATATAGTTCGGGGAATTCAGACACACACGTTTTATAAGCTTTTCCTCCATTTTGCTTCCTGGTCTTTCCAGCCAATGGTTTCTATTGGCCACGCGTGCATTCGTCACGGCGCGCCGCGGTCAAAGTTCAACACAGTTTAACTTTGACCTGGCCTGCGCGCGAGCTCGCGAAGCGGTGCGCTGCGCTTTGCTCGACGCAGCGATAAACCGCCCTGGCGCGGCGCAAGCCATTGAAAAGAATGGGTTTCACAGCGCAGCAGTGCGGTCGTCGCAGCCTGTCTGAAAGGCCCATAAGTGTCTGAATGGAAAGCAGAGGTTTCATGTGGGCCCCTGGAATATTACAGCCAGACAATGTTGCTTTCAAACAGTCCTTTGAGATTCTAAATCAAATTAGTGAAACATCTCTAAAAACAGAAACCTTAAAAACAGAAGGAGTCAAATAGTGAATATTCTGGAGCAGCGGTAGGTCACCTGTACAGGTGGGATTTGTCTTTCCGGTAGAAGCGCAGCAGAAGGGAGTGAAAGGGAAGGCCCTTGATCCTCCAGCGAGCCTTGATGGTTCCGTCCTCCATGTGCTTGGTGAGCTTCAGCACGTCCAGGCGAGCCTCAGCGTAGTAACACAGGGCCAGGAAGCGCCACAGGGAGAGCGTGAGCCGGTACACCAGAAGACCTCTGCATGAACACAGAGAGACAGACGCACCACAGCTGTTCAGAGAGCCCCGCCCCCAGAATATGAAGCCTGAAACGAGGCGTCACCTGGTTTTCATGTTCATCAGTCCGTTGATGAACTCCACGTCGTTTGAATACATGGTGTAGTCATGGTTCGTCATAAAGAAGCTTGGAAGCTGCAAAAAAAGAAATGTGATTCTTAGCAACAGGCTAATGCATCACCTGCTACCATTAAAAAAGAGGAAGGTGGGTGGATGAGTAGAACGATGTGTGATTATAGTTTTGAGGAGACCCTTTATAGCAGCTAACTAGATGGACTAGTTCTTCTTCTATGGCATCAAGCATCAATTAAAGTGAGCAAAGCAGTAATCAAAGCTAAAAGTGGCTACTTCAAAGAACCTAGAATATAAGTCATATTTTCAGCTGTTTCACACTTTTTTGTTAAGTATATAATTCCACGTTTTAATTCATAGTTTTGATGCCTTCAGTGTGAATCTATAATCTTCATAGTCAAGCTCTTTGAATGAGAAGGTTTGTCTAAACTTTTGGACATTTACTGTATGTAAATGTGTTTTAATGAGGTTTTAAACAAAAAAGCTCCATGTGGAATAAAATTCATTAGATTCTATTAGAGTTTATAGGTTTTACGCCGATTTTAGATAATAAAGTAAAATATCTGTGTGTTGTTTTTGATCAGGACCCATCATTTCATATCGTATCAACGAGGTTTCTAGAATTTCCTTCTTTCATCTGAGGAACATGAGCAATCTCCTGTCCAGGGGTGATGCTGAGAAACTAGTCCATGCATTTGTTACTTCAAGGCTGGACTATTGTAATTCTTTACTATCAGGAAGTCCACAAACTGTAGTTAAAAGCCTTCAGCTGATCCAAAATGCTGCAGCCAGAGTTCTGATGAAAATTAAAAAGAGAGATCATATCTCTCCTATCCTGGCTTCTCTTCATTGGCTTCCTGTTAAACCCAGAATAGAATTTAAAATCCTCCTTCTCACATATAAAGCCTTAAATGGCCAAGCTCCATCTGATATCAGAGATCTGATTGTTCCTTATGTTCCTAACAGAGCACTTCGCTCTCAATCTACAGGTTTACTAGTGGTTCCTAGAATCTCTAAAAGTAGAATGGGAGGCAGATCTTTTAGTCATCAGGCTCCTCTCCTGTGGAACCAACTACCAGTTTTAGTCCGTGAGGCAGACACCCTGTCTACTTTTAAGGCTAGGCTTAAAACTTTCCTTTTTGATAAAGCTTCTAGTTAGAGTGGCTCAGGTTATCCTGAGCTCTCTCTATAGTTCTGCTGCTATAGGCTTAGACTGCTGGAGGACATAGGGACCCCTTTTTCATCATTCTGCTTCATTCTATCTCTATTCTCCCACTCTGCAGAATCTGTTAGTTCAATCTCTAACGTTCTGCTCTCTCTGCTTTTTCTCATAGTAGCTTCATCTGGTCTGTTCCTGTTTGGCTGTGACTCCATCCTGGAGAGAAATATCAGCTGTGCTGCTGCCATCAACACCTTTGTTTCTAGATGTTGGAGCTTGGCCTGTTTTCCAGTGTAGTCCTGTTTCTCTGACTGTGACTAACTGGATGTGCTCTCTTCATCCTCTGACATGGGAGCTGGCTCGGAGCTCGTCTGCCTGGCTGTGTGTTTCCTGGACGGGGCCGCCTGGGGAGCTGGTTGACAGTTGCCTTTTGTATATATTAGGGATGCACGATATAATCGGCCCCCTATCGGTATCGGCCTTAAAACTGAATATCGGACATCGGCCACCCCACCGATATTTAACCCGATATTTGATCAGCTTCTGAGTTTCTAAAGTCTAAAAAAAAATAAAATACTACTTCTTCTTCTTCCTCAAAAACTTCTTTTTTACAGACTTAAAAACTTCTAAAGACGAGGGAAAAAATATTGATCCATTAAAATATCCCAATATCTTCATATGCTGATATACTGCCATTTAAAAACACCATATCAATCTCTTTTACTAATGAAATATTGCTATATGTCATCGTTATGCTACGAAATGTTGCCATATTTTTATATGTTGATATATTGACACGGTATCGATCTATTTTACTAACAAAATATCACAAGAATTTGCAAAATATCACGAGAGTTCGTAACAGAACGATGAAATTTCACGAGATTTTGAAAGTAAAATAGATCGATACCGCGTTTTTTAAAAATCTATTTGATATCAGCATATGAAAATATATTTCAGTATATTATTTTTCAAAGTGTCAGAAATGGATAACAAAACTGCTATTTTCAATGATTGCTTATTTTTGTCCAGCTTTAACATCAGTATCGATATCGGTTATCGGCTACATGAGTTTTAAAATATCGGCATATCGGATATCGGCCAAAATCCCAATATCGTGCATCCCTAGTATCTATGCTTCTTTTTCTATGTCTGCTTCTGTCTCCTTGAACCCCAGTCGGCCTCAGCAGATGGCCGCTCACACTGAGCCTGGTTCTGCTGGAGGTTTCTTCCTGTTCAAAGGGAGTTTTTCCTCTCCACTGTCGCTACAAGCATGCTTAATGTGAGGGATTGCTGAAGAGTCAATGAGTCGATGCAATCAGCTGGTTTTCCTTAGATAGAAAACTTTGAATCAATCTGACTGGATAATCTGGTGAACTGGAAAGCACCTTGAGATGATATGTGTTGTGAATTGGTGCTAAATAAATAAACTCAATTGAATATTTATATACTGGTTGAAAATAATTATGTAATCATTTATAGTAATGTTCACAAAAACGTCAATGTTAAATTAAATTTCATCGACATCCATCATATTCAGACAGACGTCTGGTAAAGCAGCTCGTTTATAACAATAAACTTATGATTCTTCTTCTTAAAAGAATCGGAAATGGAGTCAAAACAAGCAATCGAAACTGGAATCGTTCAAGTTCAAATGATACCGAACCCGTGTTGAGATCCTTTCATCTGCCTACATCCCCCAGAATGCCACGGGGTTCTTGATCAGAGTTCAGTGAAATTATAGATCTTTCTATTAATGTATTACAAAAGACACGCTTCTATCACGACATGTATTGTCATCGGTTTGATCAGTCCTGGGATTGCTGATTGGCTGAACGCTGATAAAGAAAGCAGCTTTTTTTGTCCCCGTGTTCACAGAAAGGAGAGTGAATCATTCTTCAGATATGATCATGCTATAACATGTTAGTGTCTATAGGTTTACTGGTGTTAAAAGCAGTGACTTTATGGAGACGGTGGGGATTAGGATCCAAACAGGTTTAAACCCAGAAACAACCAGCTTTTAGTGGCAGCAGGAACGGCTCACTGACCATCAAACGACTCGCTACACGACCCGGGTAAGAATCAAACCGCTAGACACCGATCGGCACGGCGGGAACACCAGACATGGGTTGACCTGCTGATTTACATGATATCCTTGAGCACAAAGAACGAACCTCCCAACATGGCGTCAGTCACGTCTGATCTAACAAGCCGAAACAACATTTGATAAACATGGAGCAGCTCTGGTGAGAGATTCATATGGAGAAAAGGGGAAAACAATAAAGCACACTGACTATGCCCCGGCTTCATTACATGCTGCTCTCCATTGTTTACTTTCCTGATTGACATCATCAAAGCTAACCCAGCATGATGGGGTTTCTTTAGGCATTAGGAAGAGAGCCAGAAGCTGATTCTTAGCGGGTCGACCCGCTAATCTCAGTGGTTATTGTGAAGCTAAGTTGGAGTCCAGCCTACCTCTAGCCTCAGTCTTTCATACATCAAGCCCAATTTCTCCTCTTCTTCTCCGTCTCCTTCACCCATCTGACCCATTTCAGAGCTCCTCTTGTCCAGTCCGTAGTTCTGCCAGGATTTCAGCACTTCGCCCATTCCAAGGTTCGTGTTGGGACAATGAAAGCAATAGAACCTAGAGCCGCGCATGAAGGGCAAAGGACAGTCCTCCGTTTCAAACATGCTCCTGAAGCAGCCATGTTCTCTCCTCAGACCATCGGCTCGCCTCCTCTGCAGGCTCTCGATGCTGATGTCGTCCTCTCTGCTGCCATCCACCGTCGTCAGTTGAAAGGAAAGCTCAGAGTCACTGCTGTGGCTGAATGCAGGAAGCTTCAGCAGCGCCTGCATGTTGTTCAACTTCTCCTGGGGCACCAGTACGCACACGCTGCGCGACTCCTCCCAGTCCTCCTCATAGCAACTCTCCGTCTGCTGGCTAGCATGGTGGAGTGGGTGGGACAGCAGCGGTTGTCTCATCCTCTGATATCTCAGGCTGTTAGGGGGCGCCAGGGCCCAAGCCGCACCGCTCAGCGAACATGTCTGGTACTGCAGGTGAAAAACCTAAAAGGGAGCAGAGAACAATTAACATTAAACGCCATTAAGGCATCATTTCTTTGACAAAGTCTTTCAAAGGCAAAACACCAGACCTGAGATAAACTCCCAACCTTCTGCCTGCTCTTTTAAAGAGGAACCAATGGTTCATTAAAGGTGCTGAAGGAGGAAATCCCCATTAGATCAATGTCTAGTTTGTCATTTTAGGATGTTTCAGGAAAAAAAAACTAAACTGTGAAGGGTTGAATTTTCTTCAGGCTGGCAATTTTTTCCGTGTTTTTTCTGGCCAGAAGAAACAGTTTCTTCAAGAAGAAACTTGGATGGTCAAATTGACTGGAAAATTTTGAAAAGACCTGCCCTCTGCAAGCGCATGCACAACCCTGCACCAGAGGGAACACCTGTTAAACGCGTGTGAGCGCGTGCACGAGTCCATTTCTCCTCGTGCACACTCTGCTTAAAAGTTACACACTCAGCTTTGTTTTTAAAAGATATAAATATAGAAAATCTAACGGCGGATGTGTGGGGGGCAGTGATTGACCTCCATGTTCTGAATGCTGGCGTACCATAAAGAATAAATGATGAACAGTTTAGTTTGTGCCTTCAAGTCGTTGCCCATAGGAAGACGTTACTTGGATATAACCTAACGGAATATCTTCAGAACGGCTCCGAATGACACTAAACTCATATGGGTGAGTAGAACATGATGGAATAACGGAAAATAAAAAAAAATATGGCGTTCCCCTTTAATTATTAACAGATTTATATTAGGGCTGGTCAATTAATTGCAACTGCAATATATTTGCAATATAACAAAAAAAACGATTTTCAAATCGAAGAGGCCCTAAATTATAAATACACTAAATTTAACAAGAGTAAGACCCTAAATTTCCCCCTTCAGAGGTCGAGGTGGTGGTAAAACTCTTATTGAGTGGGTTTGTGGCTACATAGAAAGGTAGAAAGTTGCAGCTAGCACACAGATCCATGCATGCAACCAGAAGTAAGCAAATGTCCTGCAGCATTGAACCCTGAGCAAGATTTCAAAAATCTGAAAGTTTGGGGTGAGCTTTGGGTTAGTGCAAAGGAAGATGGAACCAAGACTGCAATCACAATCAGTGCAGCTGACAGCTTTGCTAGACACATTGCTCCTTACCTGGATCTGGATGGACATCATTCTTCTTCAATTCCATCACTGGACCTGTTCCTAACTCATCCTCACTTTATTTTTTATATTTACTCCTAAAATCCCTCCAGCCTTTGGTGTCATCTTCCATTTTTCCCTTTTTTTTTTTTCCCTGTGCAACGGACTTCTGAAAACCTGACATCCTTTGCAGCGAAACGAACTTAAAAGCTGCAGCCCGCCGTTGTCCTGTTGTGGTGGGGGGAGTTCTAATGGCCACTTATTTAAAGAAAACATTACATATAGCTAAAACAGATATATCTATATATTTAGTTACTCCAATATTAAATATTTTTATCACAATATTTTCAGAAAAATAACTTCTGCCTGTATTTGTAACGGACAGAGTGTCTATTTTGGTCCCTCTCTGTCCTGGGACAATTTACCCCCCCGTCGGCAGGCGTGATCACAATATTGGTTTACAATAATCACAATTTTTATTTTTTGCAAAATGTTTCAGCTCTATTTCAAAGTTGAAATGTACATGAACAATAATGGAACCCTGCGTATAGCTCCCACTGATGTTCACGCTAGTTTTTAACAGAAACAGACGCAGCAGATTTAAATCCAGCGGCTCACCTGACTGAGACTTCGGCTCCATTTCTGTACAGCTTTCCTTCGGCTCTGGCTGCAGTAGCAACCCATCCAGAAGGAGACGCCTCCTCTGCTCACAGCCATCTGGGGAGGGGGGGGTTCACCAGCCGAACATCACCCAGAGTGAACTGCCAGGCCGTCTGGATCCAAAACCCCTGAAAGCAACAAGAAAAGAGTCACATTTCCACAGCACTGTTTGTTCTTTTTAGAATTTACCCAAAAAAGAAACATTTTAACAGGAAAAAATTTACATAATTCGTGATTCAACTGTCATGTCTTCCTCATTTATGGACAGAAAGGCATATTTTAATAATTCAATAGAAACTATTTCCTCACATAATGTTCTTTTGTGGCTTGAATTGTTATTTTAGTGAAATGGGCGACTGCGGGGCAGAGCTGCTTTCAAAAGCCGTACACTGGGGGAAGAAAAATAAATCATCCGGCCTTTAGACACTTTTGTATTTAATACTGTAAATATATTCTTATTTTATCCCAACAGTTTAATCTGAATTCAGATAAAGGCACAGGAAGGACTGCACACACAGAGGAGACACTCTGTGCTGTTCTTGAGTAAACAAAATACAAACCAACATGCACCTCCTGTTCCTCAATCTTTAAAGATGCGCAGCAGACAGATGCAGACAGATGCTCTGTGTTTCTATTAGTGCAATCCAATCCAAATTTATTCATAAAGCACTTTAAAATTTCTCAAAGGACCAAAGTGCTGCACAGCGAAACAGGAAAAAATCATTACAAGACATAAAAACATAAAAAACTTACAAAATAAAAATCAAAACTAGCAGAATTTAAAAACTAGGGGGAAAAATATCAATAAAACCTGGAATTAAATACAAAATAATTTAAAATAATTGATCAAAGGCCAAAATTAACATAGTTTTGAGAGCCGAGGCAAAACAATGAGTTTTTAGAAACGATTTAAAATCAGACAGAGAGATTGACTTTTTAATCCGCACTGGAAGGTCGTCCCACATTTTTAGAGCGGCAACAGAGAAAGTGCGTTAAATGTGCAAAAAAATAATTATTGGACTTTATTGATCTCACATTGGAGAAATTTACCTCCGAATTTAACCCATCTCCTTCAGTTTACTTCTATAGCGCAAATTCACATCATATCATTTCAATGCACTTTATAGAGACAATTCAACCAGATCATCCAATAATATAATATAACTCCCTTTTAAGGTGAAGAAACCTCCAGCAGAACCAGGCTCAGTGTGAGCGGCAATCTGCTGAGGCCCACTGGGGTTCAAGGAGACAGAAGCAGACATAGAAAAAGAAGCATAGATACAATTTCGCTGTATTGATTAAATGATGACAGATTAAATCACATCGGTGCAAAATGAAAATATTGATCCTTATTTTCATTTTGGGTACAGCAGCTCCAGCAGTCAGAAGGTGAACAGGACGTCTTCTTTTGTAAAATCACTGATAAAGTTAATTTTATGCTTTTACTTAATAACTAAAATGAGAAAACAAGTAATAAATATTTTTAAGTCTAATATTAAAAATATTAGACATTTAAATAAGAATGCGTAACATATTGGGATTAATAGCAATGTTAGTCATTTTCAAACATATCATATCGATAAGATAAGCAGAACTGGGCCAACAATCAGCAACCATCCAGTTTGTGTTTTTAGTTGTAGAGGAGCAGATTGATTGGTCATGTGACAGTTATAGTCATGTAGCAAAGGATTGTGGGTGTTCTCCTGAAACAGAGACTCAATGTCAGAACTGTGGTAATTTATTTATGCCACAAGGGAAGGGATGTATAAAGCTTATAATATCCGTTAATATCAGATATCTCCCCTAACAACGGTTTATTGAAAATCAGCATCAAACTGATCGTTTCTACAGGTGCATCTCTCTTTTAATGCATTGTAAATAGCTACATCATGCTGTTTACTCGATCCAATGCTTTTACATGCAATCATTACAGATAGAGTCTGTAATTAATACATTTGAATTTTGAATATGACCGGACTTTACCTTTAAAGGCAACATTTGTTCACAATCTATCTGCCTACATGTTTACATAAAATACACATTAATAATCCTTTTAACAATAACTTAAATAAACTGACAACCATTTAATAAACATCAATCCATTTCAGCCTGGATATATTCTTAATTATTGATTGATTGACTTTATTGAACTCACAGTCAAAGAAGAATAATGTGCCAAAGGAAATAAAAGGTGCATGGATATATATACAGTATATAAAATCAATAGGAAAACATTTCTATACATAATCCTAACCCTCATCATCATGTTAATCAGCTTAGACTTATTTTCATTGATGATGAGCCGCTTTAATATCACTTCCACTCACGCTAAGCATGCTTGTAGCGACAGTGGGGAGGAAAAACTCCCTTTTAACAGGAAGAAACCTCCATTAGAACCAGGCTCAGTGTGAGCGGGCATCTGCTGAGGCCCACTGGGGTTCAGAAGTAAACTGTTGGTTAAAGTAATACCTGATGGTGGAAGGAGTGTGAATATTTCTGGACTGAATTGATCACCAATAATTGACAGCATCCAAACTACAGACATCCATCAGCTTTCAACCTTTGAAAGTCTTAAAACATGATGAGTTAAGAAGGAAATGAAACTGAAAACTACAGGACATTAATGCAGCCATGTCTCTACAGCCTTAATGCAGCTAGTCAAAGGGAAACAGAGCTACTTGATGCCATGACACCTTTACATGATGACCGCTGCGGGTCAAACCGTTACAGATGGTTTCCCTCACGTATGGAGATCTGGTTGATTATTTTTGGGGTGCGTGGAAACACAGTAAGCCCACTGCTGTGCAGAGTAACCCACAGACACGGTCAATGACAGCTAGCTTGGCGCTAAGCTAAGGAAGCAGCGGGGTGTCCGGCCGGCTAACTGACCTCCTGCTCTGCTTCCTCCTCCACCGGACAGCGGCTCACATCCGTCTGTTCGCCCGGAGACAAGAGCGGCAGCGGGGCGGTGAGGCGGCTGGAAGTTCGCTAACCAGATCCAGGTAACTTTAGCCAATGTCCCGGACTGTGTCCTTGCACAACATAACGTCACGACGCTGCTTCGGCTGATTAGCAGATTCTTCTTCGTCTGCTGGAAGTAAACGGCCTTTGGGGAAATATAATGTGAGGTGCGCATTACCGCCACCAGCTGGTAGGGAGTGTAATTCATGAGCTGTTCATAGCTAGTGTGCAAACTGAAAGTCAAATTATATTTATCTTTCCTTAAATTTAAAGTAATTATTTTGCTTCATAAGTTAATCGTGTCTTTGGTACCTTTTCATTTACCAACTGAAATTCTCACTTCAAATATTTTCTTTCTTGCTCATTTTTCCAATGTTGAAATAAAATCTTCTGTTCTTTTGTCCTCTCCTTGGTTTCACCTGAATTATGAATTTATATTTAAAAATACAATTAAATCCTAGTTTATATGACCATTAATAATTTCTCTCTCTTTCTCTTCTTCCTGTCATAATTTTTGCTAATCCCTTTGATCGTATAAAATTAACTCCCTGCTCTTTCCCTAAAACAACTTTTTTTTCCCATTTTACTTGCCTTTGATTTTTATTTATTATGATATTCCTTGCCTTTAATTTTCTATTATGTATACTGCTGTAAAGTTAACATGAGCCATGTTTTGTTGTAAGCAGTACTTATAATAAAAACTCCTGCTCTCTGTGTTATAAACTTAATAATTAATAGCTTGAATCTGAGTAATTTTTTTTTTTTAATGACCTTATGTCTTTCACTCCCTCTGCTGCTGGAAAACTGCAAACACTTCTAATGTGTGTAGAGATAACCCATTTGTAGTTAGTGTTCCTTACTTAAAATCGCTTTACTATAAAATATCTCTGATATAAGACGGAGCTTTGTTATTTAAGGCTTTATATGTGGGAAGGAGGATTTTTAAATTCTATTCTGGATTTAACAGGAAGCCTGTGTGGGACCAAACTTAAATAAGGACAAAAGGTGTTCAAAATTGAAAAAAACAACAACTTTTATTTAATAGTGTCAAAAAGAATTAACAGAGGCTCAAAGGCAATACAAAATAGCTTAAATAATAAATAACATCGATTTGGGACCAACTCAAGGGAGGTCAACTGAACAGAAACTGACTCAAACCAAAAACTGACCTACTGATAAGGAACAGGCGCTGCTTAAATAGGGGTGGAATAACCTAAACTTGCCACATGGGGGAGGTACAATCAAACAGAAAAACAATACATTTAAAAAATCCATACAAAACTAAAACCTATTAAACAAATAAAACAACTCTTAAGCTTAGCACAAAAAATAAGTGAATATTGAAGAGAAAAAATAACTAAGGTTCTTTGTTTGGGAAAGTGGTATGTTCCTGGCTTCCACCTCCAGCTGATCTGCATTTGCAAAACCTGGAAGAAAATAAGTAGCATGAGTTAAACCATTTAGACAGATTAACTAAAGTGTGCACCCATTAGAAAATATACATCTAAATGGAATAACTTAAACAAAATCTGGAACTAAATACAAACTATGAAACTATACAAACACTTTGTGGTGAATGTAGAAGGTTCCACCACATGGTCCCAAGAGGTAAGCTTCTTACTTTACAGGCTCCCTATACTAAAGGCAGATAAAACTTTCTAAATGTCAGAATGTATTACCAAGCCTCCCAGTTTCGTACTCTATGGAAGTGGATTTATTAAATTGGCAACGATGTGAGGTGGGTCTCAATAAAACAAGAAGAACTGAGATCCATGTCACTGGCAATCATCCCTTTCTTGAGTTAAAAAAAGCAGCTCTCTACAATAACATCAAATCATTTAATCTTAGCTTCCTACAATGCATGGATTCAGTTACACGCTCTTTTAAACCTAAACATACGATTGTTGATTAACACACCGCTCGATAATAACCCCAGCATTCCCCAACCTATAGCAGATGGTCTACTTCAAACCTGGGGCAGAAAAGGCATTAGAACAGCCGGCGATCTTAATACCAATAATGTCTTTGCCAGCTTTGGTCAATTAACTTGCATAAGCACAACCATTTCAAGTATTTGCAGATCAGACACTGGATTAAGAGTCAAATAGAGATATTTTCAAATAAACCAGAGGAAACGATGCTTGATCATGTTTATTAGATCCCAAATGTGGATCCATTTACAGAAGGATGGGAATTGGAATTAAACTACAACTATGATGACCAAAGCTGGGGCAGATTACTAAACTCAATTCAAACAACATTAATATCAACAAAACACAAGCAAATTGAATTTAATATTTTTCACCCCATATACTATAGGTTGAATACGCTGAACGCCAGTATCAATGATAAATGCCAGAGGTGTAGGACGTCTTTTTCATATGTTTTGGAATTTTGTTCACTTGCAAACCTACCAGAACAATGTAATTCTGTTAACCTCTGATATCCTGACCCCAGGATATGGATACTTGTCCCTTCTTGGGCATTCTAAGATTAGACCTGAGTGACTGATCAATATTTATCTTTACTGTGTTTCAATTATTCCAATATTTTTGTTGTGCTTTCTTCTCTTAATTTTCTAACTCTCAAAAATATGGTTAATGCTTAATATTATACTACTACAGTGTACATGTGTTGCTACATGGAGAGAGTGGGCTGGGTGGGTGGGTTTGTTTTTATAGTCGCTTTTTTTTTTTTTTGAGGTTACAAAAAAACAAAAAGGTATATATATATATATATATATATATATATATATATATATATATATATATATATATATATATATATATATATATATTCATCTTTTTTATTATTATCAGAACTCTAGCTGCAGCATTTTGGATCAGCTGAAGGCTTTTAACTATGGACTAGTTTCTCAGAACCTGGACAGGAGATTTCTCATTTTGTAATATTGCGCATATGAAAGAAGGACATTACTTTATTATCTGAGATAAATTTAATCCCATTCAGATGAAGTGACTGTCTCTTCCACGGTTCTGAGGAGGGATCGACGGGCCAGGGACCAGACCTCCTTACAGTGCTGGATGTGCTGATCTACAGAGGGAGCTGTTATTCTTCTCACATTTGACAGGAACAGTGGGGGCTGGTAACCCAGAGACACCTCGAAAGGAGAGAAACCCGTGGATGTGGAGGTGTGGGAATTGTGGGCATATTCCACCCAGGGGAGGAACTTGTTCCAGTCTGCAGAACGTGTGGATGTGAGCCAGCGGAGAAAGGACTCCAACTCCTGGTTCATATGTTCGGTCTTTCTGTTGGTTTGGGGATGATAACCTGACGACAGGGTGTAGGTGGCCCCCAGGGAGGTGGCAAACTCCCTCCAGACACGGAAAGTGAATTGAGGTCCTCGGTCTGAGAGGATGTTCCGAGGTATCCCGTGTAATCTAAATACATGCTTAACCAGCAGCTGGGCTGTCGGGAAAGCGGATGGGAGCTTGCAGAGGGGTACCAGATGGCAGGCTTTGGAAAAGCAGTCCATAACGGTTAAGATGACAGTCATGATGACAGCCCAGTGACGAAGTCCAAGGCAATATGAGACCAAGGACGTTCAGGGACGGGGAGAGGGTCAAGTATTAATCGGTTAGAAGTCTTGTTCTTAGCACAGGTTGGATAGGCTAGGACATACTGCTGTGCAAGCTGATTGATGGTTTCGATGGACTCCGGGGTGAGCGAAGATCTTAGCGGAGCGGGCGGACAGAGCTCTGGACATATTTTCTGTCCTCCTGGGTCGGGTTCAGTCCGCAGGGCCTCCGGTGGGAGAGGGCATCAGGCTTATTGTTCCTCGAGCCGGGTTGGAAGGAGATCGAGAGGTTAAATTGGGAAATGAACAAGGACCAGCTGGCTTGCCTGATATTTAAACGTTAAGCGGACTGGAGTTAGGCCAAGTTCTTATGATCTGTCCAAACTAGGACAGGTTCGGTGCCCTCCAGCCAGTGACGCCACTCTTCTAAGGCCATCTTAATTGCAAGGAGGTCACGATCGCCCACATCGTAGTTGTGCTCTGCTGGGGAAAGGCGTCGGGAGAAGAAAGCGCAGGGGTGCAACTTATGATTGGGAGAGGACTGCTCCGATGCCGGAGTCAGAGTCAATCTCTTAAATAAACTGTTGGTGGGGGTCAGGATGGATGAGCACTGGAGCCTAAGAGAACCTCCTCATTAGCTCATGGAAGGCCGAGTCAGCCGCATCATTCCAGGTAAACGTGGACTTAACAGACGTGAGGGCGTGAAGTGGGGCAGCAACTAGACTATAATTGCAGATAAATCTGCGGTAGAAATTTGCAAATCCGAGGAACCGTTGGAGCTGACGACGGGAGTCAGGTACCTGCCATTCCTGCACGGCGCTCATTTTCTCCGTATCCGACCGGACCTGCCCCCCCTCAAGGATTAGGCCCAAGAAAGAGATGGACGGCTTCTCGAACTCACATTTCTCTGCCATAACAAAGAGCCTGTTCTCAAGTAGGCGCTAGAGTACCAGTATCACATTTAGGTTGGTGTTCAATGAGACTTCTGGAGTAAATGAGAATATCATCTATGTTAGATAAGCTGGTGTTGAGGTGCAGACAGCCGCTCCCTTTTAAGCCGTCCCACAACCATGAAACGCAGCACACCTGTGTTCAGCACCACCCTGCTCTTCAGCAGCCACCTGCGGGGAAACAAAAGGGGCGAGATTGCTGAACCGGCAGGTAGTTACCGCAGCGCCCTGACAAAAGCCCATAGAGCAAAACACTGTATTGGTGCGCGTGTCATTTCAAGAAATTCATGTCACCAATACAGGAGTAGTTTCTAACTGATTGAGACACTGTTAAAAAAATTTCTCTTTTTTTACGGTTTATCATTAAAATTATCAAGAATTTTCGAGCAACTTAAAAGGAAAAGGAATGTTTCAGCCATTGCGTTTGTATTTTACTTTTCTCGTCCTGTCATCCTTTTCCTCTCAGTTATCACTCAGCTTAACTGAATTAAAGGTAATTTCAAATTGACTCCAAGTGTATTCACTGTTTTTTCTGTACTTATTGTTTTAAAATTATGATTCAAAATCCTAGTCCAAAAGCATCCTCATTACATAAAGCTGCTTTTTGTGTCTCTGCTTCTGTCTCCTTGAACCCCAGTCAGCCTCAGCAGATGGCCGCTCACACTGAACCTGGTTCTGCTGGAGGTTTCTTCCTGTTAAAAGGAAGTTTTTCCTCCCCACTGTCGCTACAAGCATGCTTAGCGTGACGGGTTGCTGAAGAGTCAATGAGTCGATGCAATCAACTGGTTTTCCTTAGATAGAAAACTATGAATCAATCTGAGTGGATGGCACTATATAAATAAACTGAATTGAATTCACATTTTTCCTATAATTTTCACGTTCTGATATATGTTTACATTATTTACTGGCTGCACCTAAAAATATCAAATATATATTCAATTTAAAGATAGATATCAATACACTTTAACCTATAATAACTTAAGTTACATCAGTGTATTAGGTCATCAGATCAAACAGTTTAGTCTGTCCAATGAGCTGCCTGTAGTGTCACTAGATGTCCAGCAGGTGTCAGTATTCTGTGAGAAAGTATCAACAGAGCATCAATATAGTTTGGCTTCAAGGTGCCTCATCAACCTATCGCTGGGATTTATCCATATAACCGTTTCCTGGGCGGTAGACATGATAAAATCACCACTGCGCACATTTACCGCTGTTACCATTTACCCCAACAGCCGTTCTGCTTTGCCAGGCTGTGGAATTCTTCCCTTCCCAATATGGCGGCCACGTTGTTGCGTCGCTGCGTATCTTAGGTCACGTGTTTCCGTCTGGCTTTTGGCGACTAGATATTGCATCATTAGGCCGCTACATGTGAGACTGGCAAATCCTCGTTGCTGGAAATTAAAGCAACGTGATTTTCTGAGGAGGTCGCAGATAAACTAAGAAAATGCCTAAAAAAGCGAAGGAGGAAACGGAGTGGGTGGACACTGATGTGGCTCCAGGGGCAGGTGAGCAAACTGACAGCGCGAGGAGCCGCTCAAAGCTACATAGCATTCTAGCTAGCAGATGGGAAAACTAAGTTGATTCATTTATAGCAGCAGCAGCTTCTATATAGATATTATTTTCCTGATCGTTTAAAGTCTATCTGACTCTTAAACACCGAAACTCTATTTAACTAAACTCCATATGTTTTCTCTTGTTAAGCTTAGTTTAGTTTAATTTATCAAACTTAAAAAATAGTTTTTCTGAAATAAGACATCACCTATGTACGGAAGAGGATTAGGGCCATAAAAAATAAAAGAAAATTAACTGATTTTCAAATTTTATTTCAGTATAATATGGGAAAAGAGTCAGAATTCTGACTTTAATCCCATATTATACTGAAATAAAATGTGAAAATCAGTTAACTTTCTTAGTTTTTCAGTGGCCCTACCTGTTAGGACACAACAGACTCAATAAAAAAATCACTTTTTGTCCAACTCAAAAACTGGGAAAGTACACATAGATAATCATTGCATAGATCTGTACATTATTCCACACAGATTCATTTTATTCTTCTTGTATGACTATGAATCAAAGGTCAACTGGGTATACAGTAAATATCATGACTGGAGTTACTTTATCTGCTCTAAAATAAGCAGTAAGCAGGTTTATGTTGGACTAATAATCAGACAAATTACTTTATACACATATATAACGTAATATTGGTAAATTTTAGTTATTTAGTTTCTTCTGCATAATTATACAGGTACACCTACAGAATTAAAGTATTATAAATATGTCTCCCTTTTAAAAGGTATGGAGATTTTTTTCTAGAGACATATAAGATTAAACTATTGTTTCTATAAAGTTGTTCTACAACACGTTATAAATATATTTGATGTATTCCAGTAGATTATTACCTTTGAAAAGCATTTTTTATGTTTATCTTCAGCTGTTTATTAAAGGTGTGCCTCTGTAAGGACAGCTTTTCATCCACATGTTCTTTTTTTTTTACTTTCTGAAAACCAAAACAGATTCTTTGCACCAGATAAACAACATTTATGAATGTTCATCTTTCTAGGTATTATTCTTGGTGCACATATTCCTGCCCTAATCGTTAGTCATGTCAGAAAGTGATGCTCATACTGCATAGATTCATCACAAGAAGACTAAAATTTCTTAAACCTCTATGTTGTTCAATTATAAAAAAAAAAGAAGAAAAAAAAGGGGAGTGGTGGCCTAGTGGTTAGGGCGTAGAGCTTGGAATCCTGAGGTTCTGAGATTGAGCCCCACTCCCACAGACTGCCACTCTGGCTCTCTGAGCAAAGACCCTTAACCCCCACACTGCTCACCAGGTGCCACACAATGACAGCCCACTGCTCCTTGAGGGGATGGGTGAAATGCAGAGGTAAAATTCTACCGTGTGAGATCAGTTAAGTTTAAATATTACAGGTGCTGGTCATAAAATTAGAATATCATGAAAAAGTAGATTGATTTCAGTAATTCCATTTAAAAAGTGAAACTTGTATATTATATTCATACATTACATACAAACTCATATATTTCAGATGTTTATTTTGTTTAATTTTGATGATTACAAATGACAACAAATGAAAATCTCAAATTCATCATATCAGAAAATTAGAATATTGTGAAAAGGTTCAAAATTGATGGCCCCTGGTGCCACACTCTAATCAGCTAATTAACTCAAACCACCTGCAAAAGCCTTTAAATGGTCTTTCAGTCTAGTTCTATAGGCTACACAATCATGGGGAAGACTGCTGACTTGACAGTTGTCCAAAAGACGACCATCGACACCTTGCACAAGGAGGGCAAGACACAAAAGGTCATCGCTAAAGAGGCTGGCTGTTCACAGAGCTCAGTGTCCAAGCACATTAATAGAGAGGCGAAGGGAAGGAAAAGATGTGGTCGAAAAAAGTGTACAAGCAAGAGAGATAACCGCACCCTGGAGAGGATTGTGAAACAAAACCCATTCAAAAATGTGGGGGAGATTCACAAAGAGTGGACTGCAGCTGGAGTGAGTGCTTCAAGAACCACCACACACAGACGTATGAAAGACATGGGTTTCTGCTGTCGCATTCCTTGTGTCAAGCCACTCTTGAACCACAGACAGCGTCAGAAGCGTCTTGCCTGGGCTAAAGAGAAACAGGACTGGACTGCTGGTGAGTGGTCCAAAGTCATGTTCTCTGATGAAAGTAAATTTTGCATTTCCTTTGGAAATCAAGGTCCCAGAGTCTGGAGGAAAAGAAGAGAGGCACTTCATCCACGTTGCTTGAAGTCCAGTGTAAAGTTTCCACAGTCAGTGATGGTTTGGGGTGCCATGTCATCTGCTGGTGTTGGTCCATTGTGTTTTCTGAGGTCCAGGGTCAACGCAGCCACATACCAGGAAGTTTTAGAGCACTTCATGCTTCCTGCAGCTGACCAACTTTTTGGAGATGCAGATTTCATTTTCCAACAGGACTTGGCACCTGCACACAGTGCCAAAGCTACCAGTACCTGGTTGAAGGACCATGGTATCCCTGTTCTTAATTGGCCAGCAAACTCTCCTGACCTTAACCCCATAGAAAATCTATGGGGTATTGTGAAGAAGATGCAATACACCAGACCCAACAATTCAGAAGAGCTAAAAGCCACTATTAGAGCAACCTGGGCTATCATAACACCTGAGCAGTGCCACAGACTGATCGACTCCATGCCACGCCGCATTGCTGCAGTAATACAGGCCAAAGGAGGCCCAACTAAATACTGAGTGCTGTACATGCTCATACTTTTCATGTTCATACTTTTCAGTTGGCCAACATTTCTATAAATCCTTTGTTTTTATTGGTCTTCAGTAATATTCTAATTTTCTGATATGATGAATTTGAGATTTTCATTTGTTGTCATTTGTAATCATCAAAATTAAACAAAATAAACATCTGAAATATATGAGTTTGTATGTAATGTATGAATATAATATACAAGTTTCACTTTTTAAATGGAATTACTGAAATCAATCTACTTTTTCATGATATTCTAATTTTATGACCAGCACCTGTATTATAGATAATTGTGACTTGCAGGTGATAAAACCCCTAAAGCTCAGCACCTCAGACAGAATATTTCAGGACATTATAAACAGAAAGGTCCAGGTTCTTTAACCATAGGTTCCTTGCTGGGCTCTTCTTGCATGAATAACTGCATCAATGCATCATGACAACAATACGACCCACCTCTGGTTCTGCTGAGGTTGCCTTGGTAACGACCTAAGGCCGGTTCACCTGTGTTGTTGGGTCCAGTTTCACACTTGCTCCAGAAACTTCCCACCGGACTTTAAGCCACTTGACTTTTATTCCTCTTATTTCGTCCTCCCGGTCTTTAGACGTCGATTTCCACGTTAAGTCCAACGTCATTCCCAAAGCGTGCCGAGTCTCGGGTCGCTTGCAGAGTCGTTTGTCAGTGAGCTGTTCCCCTGCCGCTAAAAGCTGATTGTTCTCAGGTTTTAACAAGGTTTTCGGGCCGTGGGAAAGTGGTACTAGAGGGCGCTCGTTTTTGTTTTTCATTTGAAGAAGCTTCCCAGTTTTCACATCACCACCACCCATCATACTGTTAATTATTTTATTTATTTATTTGATCTTTAAAGGCGATAGCTACATGATTAACTCCTCCCAGCCAGTAGGTGGCGCACTCTCTGTCCATACTGTTTGCCAGCTGATTGCAGTCCTCTAATACGGAGGTCTTCAACAGGGGTCTGCGTCCCCTAGGGGATCCACAGAGGTACTGCATGTGGGTCGCAAAAGTTTTGGTTGATAAGATTTTTTTATTATATTCCTCCCTGCAATTTTTTCCACTAATGCCTTTAAATCCACATTTAAAAGACCTTAATTAGGTTTTTTTCTCCCCAAAATAGTAAACTTTCTAAAGTAAAATGTGTTAAAGGTTATTTATGTATTTCCTGAAAAAAATAAATGCATTAAAATCCTTTTCTTTTTTATCACTCTGTGCCTGATCTGCACCAGAAATGGGATCCTATGCTACTTCCGGGAGCTAACTTTTTCAGCTTTGGGTTTATATTTTTCCATTGTGTGATAACATTATGGTATATAGTGCATAATCTGATGATAGAAACAACTAAAATGCAGCTAAACATGGTTTAATCATATTTTGCCAGATTGCTCTGAGCATGTCCCGTGATGACGTCAGAGAAGCTGTTTAACGGAGGAAATGGAAAAAGCTTTAAAATTGTCTCAGAAAAGTCATTAAAGATGCGTGTTAGTATTCTTTAGTGAGTTAAGGATATAAATAAGTAATTTTATCACTAAAATTATATTATTTATGGACACCCGGATGTATATCTGTTTGCGCGTGATCAGGACGGATCGGCTTCCGGGGCGGATCGGTTTGAGACATGTTAGCATGTTTGCTAACCCAGCTAATTCTGATCTCGGTTTTTTAACAGTTTCTTTAGCCATTTATTATTTCTACATTAAAGCTCATTCTCAGGTCAGAAGTTCCTTGGTGTTGTTTTAAAAATGTAACCTGATACTGATGATATTGATGGTCAGTGTGTGTTATCTGGCCTTTTAGCGTTTAAAAAGTAATTTTATGCCAAATCTTCCCACAGAAAAAACTGTGAAAAAGGGGAAAAAAGACAAAAAGGGGAAAAAGAGTGTGAGTAAAACTTTTATTTATTCTTCAAACATCTCTGAGTGGATCTATATCTTTAAAATCTTCACAGATTTCATTGATGTTTTGTTTTTATTCCAGTTTTTTGAGGAACTTTCAACGGATAGCAAAACGGAGAAGGTTGATGAGCCAGCTGGGAAAGACAACCAAACAAAACAGGTAAACATCTACCTGCATTAACGCTGGACAAGGATCATGTTTTTAATATCAAATTCCAAATCGCTGAGTTTTGGTCGCCTTACATTCAGCAAGTTGCCTAGTTTCTCTCAGCAGCCCTCTAGGTGGCAGTAATGTGCTGAAAGCAGGTCAACCATCACAGAAGGGAGGAGAGAGATGTTGCTAGGAGGCACATCTATGCATGTGAGCTAGAAGCATCTTTCAGGCTCAGACAATAGACTCTGGAGCAGAGAGCATTCAGGGCCATGAAAACAAAGACAGCAAACCTGTTTCTGGGGTTTCTGCAGGGTTCTGTTTTTTTTTAACTCCTATGACTGTGCTTTAAAAATTCAATTCAGTTTATTTCTATAGCGCCAATTCACATGTCATCACAAGTCACTTTCCAGTTCACCAGATCATCCAGTCAGATTGGTTCAAAGTTTTCTATCTAAGGAAAACCAGCTGATTGGGTCGACTCATTAGCTACGTTTACATGCGCAAAATTTCCCGATCCGATCCAAACCTTGGTTGATCGGAAATTCAAAATCTCCGTTTACATGGACACTAAATGAAATGATCCGATCATGACGTGTGTATACATGTACCAAGCGTTGGATCAGATTAAATCTTTTAAGCATGCGCAGAACTTCCTGCCAAACTTGGCAGTTCTGTCTGCGTCTGGTTTTTTGGGAGGCCTGACAAACGATGCGCTCGGAGCGAGCGGAAAGAAAAAAGGAGAGAGGACGAAAAAAGCGCTTGGCAGCGAAATGTCCGAGAGAAATAGAGAATGAGCGATTGAGCCGGCGTGGGAGAGCGAGTGGGCTGTGGAGAGAGAAAAGAGGAAGAGGAGGAGGATAAATTCCTGCTTCCTGCAGCTTTAAATGAACTTGAGTGTATAAGTCGGCGTTCCTAGACTCCTCCCGCCATGTTGTTCACAGCGAGAGCGAGAGCGACCGGTGGTTTCCTGTTGTTGACAAGGCGGAAAAACGTCACGCTGACGTCGCACACATGCGCAGTGAAGATTATTTTACTCTTAAGATCCGAATGGGTGTTTACATGGACGCCAATCGGAATGGCGATCGGCAAAAACCACCTCTCTCTTTCGGAATTAAATTTAGATCCGATCGGACCGAATCGGATTAGAATCTTCAGTCTGACATGTTTACATGAAACATTTTTGATCTGATCAGGCCTTCAATCCGTAGTTGTGTCCATGTAAACGTAGCCATGGACTCTTCAGCAATCCCTCACACTAAGCATGCTTGTAGCAACAGTGGAGAGAAAAACTCTTTTAACAGGAAGAAACCTCCAGCAGAACCAGGCTCAGTGTGAGCGGCCATCTGCTGAGGCCGACGGGTTCAAGGAGACAAAAAGGAGCTGTATGTAATGAGGATGCTTTTGGACTAGGATTTTAAATCATAATTTTAAAACAATAAGTACAGAAAAAACTGTTAAGCTGAGTGATAACTGAGAGGAAAAGGATGACACAACGAGAAAAGTAAAATACAAACGTAACGGCTGAAACGTTTAAGTTGCTCCAAAATTCTTGATAATTGTTATGATAAACCATAAAAAAAGAGAAATTATTTTTTTTAAGATGCATCATTTTGACAGATATGTTTTTAAACACAGTTTAGCATCTTAGTCAGTTAGAAACTACTCCTCGCTCTTCCTCACATCAAGGCTCACTGAACAGAGAAGGTGGGTGTATGGTTTACTGCGCTGCGCAGTCAGGATAGGTGCTTCCTGGAAAGGTCAGGTGATCTCTGATCACTCATGGTTTCTAGTTTTTTCAGGAAATATAGAGAGAATTCATGAGGATCACGCAGACAGTCTGAGCTTGACTGTGATGATTAATGACGATGTAACAGTTTAGAAGCGATGCAGCCTTGCTGATGTTCTGCTGTTCGTAGCCCCAGAAAAAAAAGGAGCGACGGAAAGGTAAAGGTGTGGAAGAAGATGACGATGAGAAGGAGGTCATGGCGACTTTGAAAAAGCTTTCGGTACAAGCGAGCGACGAGGAAGACGAATCAGGTTTGTTTTCTTGGGATGAGTCTGTGAGCTTCTCTCTGTTCTCTGATGGAAACATTGATTCCTTCTTCTTTCTCTGCAGGATTCATCTCAAACAAAAGAAACAAGGAAAAGGTTCGTTCCCCTCCTCCTGATAAATGCGCTCAGGCTGCATAGGCCTGATGGGCTAGGGAGGCGGAGTCTTTGCCATAAGCCCCGCCCCCTTCTTTACTGCCATAGACCAAACAGGGAAAAAAAAAATAAAAAATAGATGTTCTCCCCTCTTCCCCCTGGAAAGAAATGTTTTTTTATACACTCTGTGTACAAAATGATAAAGTCTGACTAATTCTAAAGTCTCCCCCCCCCCCCCCCCCTTGTCACGTATAAAAGCCTCTTTCTCTTTTTTAGACAGGAAACATCTTTGCTGCTCTCAGCCAAGGACAGAGCGAAGAAGAGGAAGAAGAAGAAGATGATGATGATGATGATGATGATAAGAATAAGCAGCGTGCAGTGAAGGTAAGTTGTTTTCAAAGACTCTTTAATTAGAATTATTGTCTAAAGTAAACTAACCTCAAAGCAGGAATATTACACTCACAACCTGAGCGGGGGTTGTGTATATATACGTATATGTGTATGTATCTGTTTATATATGTTTGCACATATATATGTTTATATATACGTGTGTATATGTATATACGTTAGGGCTGCAACTAACGATTATTTTAAAAATCGATGAATCGGCCGATTATTTTTTCGATTAATCGATGAATTGGACAAAAAATATTTTTTATATTAACGTCTTTATTCCAAAATAAACATTTTAGACAGAACAAACAAGCACACAAGTACAGGTTGCTCATTAACTGTCCTGGTGCAATATGAAAAATAAATGTTTGTGTTAAAACTACGCAAACTTACATGAGAAATGTAGCTGTACATCCACAAAATATAGGCTACTTTGTTTCATAAAGCGCAAAAAAAGACATTTTTGTTTTTAAAGCCCCTAAGGGGTTCAAACAATGGGCCCCCCCATTTCAACAAATGAGTTTTTTTAGACTAGAAGAGTTCTGCCTTTTAAGACAGGAAAGTATAGCAGTTAAAGTTGCTACTTGAGAAAATACTGAACCATAGAGATAAAAATAGCCCTGTGATTCAAATTATAAATTGTATTTGGAATAAAAATGAGAGAACTAGGGGTGCTAAAAAACACATCCTCCAAAGACAGATATTTACATGGGAATGTGGCATATAATTAATTGACATATTACTGATCTTGCTGGATTTTATTCTGCTTTACTTTCATAAATTGCAGGATCTTCTTTACTTTATCTTTGCCAGAAGATTTAAACTTTAAAAGCCTTGCCCTCATAATTTGCAAGTTAATTTATTTATAAAGAAAATATAAACGCTGCTTAAGCTAATTCAAATGAAATTAAAAGTAAAATAAGTAGCCAACCTTATCACTGTCTGTAACCTACTAACAAGGTAAGGAAAGCATCAGATGAGCTACCTGAGAAACTAACGTTACGTTTCCCCACTTTAAAACCAAACAAAACATGGTCGCTCACCCTGCTGATCAGCTCTCTTCACTGCCATCGAGGCTCCAACGTGTTTCCTTTTCAGGTGCTGCATCATAACAGTGGTGCTTCCGTGCCATGTTCATTTGTTTTTACAAAAGTTGCATGTTACGACTTTTTTCCCCTTACAAAGCGCAGGCTATTTTAATTACTGTGATCAATTTGCGCCGTCAATCCCGACGCATGCGCGCTTCATTTGCAGTCTGGACGCTGAGGGTAAACATCCTGCTGCTCTGACTGCAGCGCTGAGAGGGACTCCTGCGGGAGAACGGGGTTGACGGCAATGACGACGGCGGCGGATGACGCATTAATCACGCGACACAACTAATCGATGATGAAATTCGTTGCCAACGCTTTTAAAAGTCGATTTTTATCGATTTTATCGATTCGTTGTTGCAGCCCTAATATACGTGTATATGTATATACATGTATATACTTGTATATACGTGTATATACTTGTATATATGTGTATATACTTGTATATATGTATATATATTTGTATATATGTATATATACGTGTATATGTATGTGTATAATTTTTTTTATAGATTTTTTCTCTGTGAAAATATAAAAACCTTTTTAAAGTTCACACGAAACCCTCCTCCCAAATGTTAAATAAATCTCCAGTGCATTAAGACTGGTTTAATGTTGAACTAAGGGCCGATCAGTCGCTGCGCCGCTAGTATTCGTAGATGTTGACCAACATCATAGAGCAGCTGGATTATACAGAAGCTTAGATCCTGGAGGGTTGGGCTGTGGTTGGTCCATATGAGCCCTGATTCACCAGCAGCGTCCTCCCCCTGTGTCTGAACTCTGCAGAAAGGAAAAGGAGCTGTACGGCAACAGAAGATGGACGACGATGAGGAGGACGACGATGATGGAGACAATATGATGGTGCGTTTGACCTGCACATGTCTCCTCTCACCTCCTTCTGCTCTGTGTCATTGTCTCTTCCTCTGGTTTCTGACCAACAGAGTGCTGAGGACGTGATCGCACAGCAGGCCCAGGAGGAAGCAGACGACCCGTTTGCTAACCTGAGCAAAAAGGAGAAGAAAAAGATGAAAAAAAAGGTGATCATGAGTTACTTCTGCTATCGTCTCCTTTCTTTTTAATGTTAAACAGAAGCAGCCATGAGAGGCTAAAAAATATTTACAATTATTAATATCATTATTATTACGAAAGCAATATGCTCCTTTAAAGATATTAGTAAGAAGGAGGATTCCTTGTATAATTTCTGTTGAAACAGGAAGATTTAAACCAGTTTAGGGATTTTGATTATTGGGAGGCAGTTTAGGATCTGAGACCAACTGTTGCTGGAAAACAACAGAGAACATAACCCAGACAGGTCACATCCAACACTAAACTAGCAAATAGCTAATGTGTAACGTAGGCTTTGCTTCTCACCACATTAATAATCTGCTTTAATAAATTAATAGAAATGGATGTAACTTTATTGTCGTTTATGACTTTATTCTTGTGATTTTACAACTTTATTTTCATATTTTACAACTTTATTCTCAAAATAGAAAAAAAAAATCTCTAGCCTGGCCTTAATACTCCATCATAGTTTCGTTGATTCTTCCAGCATCTCTGCATTGAAAAAGTCCAAGTAGAGTAAAAACCTGACTGCCAATTAAATACAACCTAATCACATTCAGTCATGCAATTAATCAGACTTTAATATTTTCATTAATTGACATGTCGACTTGAAAGTCCATCGTTTGGTAACACTGACCCCCCCCCAGAGGGATGGCCCTCCTCTCCAAAGGCAATGTCTGCTGGCGATGGAGCAGAGAAATGCTCCTTCAGCTGTCGGCACCTAGAACCAGAGGAACCGGTTTGGTCCGGTTAAAGTTCACTCAGGAACTTCTCGACTTCGCAGCAGAACCCTTCCACCCCATAAACCTGGGACCCGTGAATGTACCTGTGGTGGCGCCACAATCAGAAAGCGTGTTTTCCGCCGTGAATCCTGTCAGACAGACCGCAGGTTTGAGTTCTGGCTAACGAGTTCTCTGACCACTTCGGGTTGAGTTCTGGCTAACGAGTTCTCTAACCACTTCGGGTTGAGTTCTGGCTAACGAGTTCTCTAACCACTTCGGGTTGAGTTCTGGCTAACGTGTTCTCTAACCACTTCGGGTTGAGTTCTGGCTAACGAGTTCTCTGACCACTTCGGGTTGAGTTCTGACTAACGAGTTCCCTGACCACTTCGGGTTGAGTTCTGGCTAACGAGTTCCCTGACCACTTCGGGTTGAGTTCTGGCTAACGAGTTCTCTGACCACTTCGGGTTGAGTTCTGGCTCACGAGTTCTCTGACCACTTCGGGTTGAGTTCTGGCTAACGAGTTCTCTGACCACTTCGGGTTGAGTTCTGGCTAACGAGTTCTCTGACCACTTCGGGTTGAGTTCTGGCTCACGAGTTCTCTGACCACTTCGGGTTCAGTTCTGGCTAACGAGTTCTCTGACCACTTCGGGTTGAGTTCTGGCTAACGAGTTCTCTGACCACTTCGGGTTGAGTTCTGGCTCACGAGTTCTCTGACCACTTCGGGTTGAGTTCTGGCTAACGAGTTCTCTGACCACTTCGGGTTGAGTTCTGACTAACGAGTTCTCTGACCACTTCGGGTTGAGTTCTGGCTAACGAGTTCTCTGACCACTTCGGGTTGAGTTCTGGCTAGGGTTGAGAATTGAAAAGATTTTCACGATTCCGATTCCCTTTTCGATTCTATGAAACGATTCGATTCTTTATCGATTCTTTTTTCGATTCCAATTTGGGGAAAAAAGGAGAACAAACAGTTTGATTATCAGCATCAACTCTGTTTACTTAACTATTGCACAATCTTACAAAATCAACAAGATCAAGATGTCCACAGGAAATGTGAAACTGGAGTAACATCTGTGTTTAAATGAAAAATGAATACAAGAACAAACTTAATAACCAACAATGTCTAATAACAAATGATGGGATAATAACCTATTTTAAATAACAAAAAATACTAATTATAAAACAGTAGTAGGGAAAATTAACAGTTCTTTTGCAGAAAGATGAGCATATCTGCTTTTTCTGGAAGGATACGGGATCTTTCAGGGCTTATGGTGTCTCCAGCCGTGGAGAACACCCTCTCAGATGGGGTGGAGGAAGCCTGCACACAGAGGTAGTTTTCAGCCAGTCCAGATAGCAAGGGCAGCGTATCTTGCTTGTTCCACCACCACAGTGTGGCGCTATCCCTGCAGGGGATGGAGGGCAAGCTTTTATAGAGCTGGATTTCCTGATCTACCCTCTGGGCTAAGGAAAGATGGGGCTTTGATTCACAAAGTGACCGCAGCTCGTTGTCTTCCTCCTCGAATAGTTCTTCCAACTTGCGTAACTTGCGTAACTTGCGTAACTTGCGTAACTTACGTAACTTACGTAAAAAACGTGACGTAAGTCGTGCTCCCCAGAGCCGGCGCTCTAGGCTCTGGTGCTGCGGGAATCGAAAAAAGAATCGTTCAGTGAGCTGCCAAATGATGCCATGGAATCGGAAAATACGGAACCGGTTCTGAATAGGAACCGGTTTTCGATTCCCATCCCTAGTTCTGGCTCACGAGTTCTCTGACCACTTCGGGTTGAGTTCTGGCTAACGAGTTCTCTGACCACTTCGGGTTGAGTTCTGGCTAACGAGTTCTCTGACCACTTCGGGTTGAGTTCTGGCTCACGAGTTCTCTGACCACTTCGGGTTGAGTTCTGGCTAACGAGTTCTCTGACCACTTCGGGTTGAGTTCTGGCTAACGAGTTCTCTGACCACTTCGGGTTGAGTTCTGGCTCACGAGTTCTCTGACCACTTCGGGTTGAGTTCTGGCTAACGAGTTCTCTGACCACTTCGGGTTGAGTTCTGGCTAACGAGTTCTCTGACCACTTCGGGTTGAGTTCTGGCTAACGAGTTCTCTGACCACTTCGGGTTGAGTTCTGGCTAACGAGTTCTCTGACCACTTCGGGTTGAGTTCTGACTAACGAGTTCCCTGACCACTTCGGGTTGAGTTCTGGCTAACGAGTTCCCTGACCACTTCGGGTTGAGTTCTGGCTAACGAGTTCTCTGACCACTTCGGGTTGAGTTCTGGCTCACGAGTTCTCTGACCACTTCGGGTTGAGTTCTGGCTAACGAGTTCTCTGACCACTTCGGGTTGAGTTCTGGCTAACGAGTTCTCTGACCACTTCGGGTTGAGTTCTGGCTCACGAGTTCTCTGACCACTTCGGGTTCAGTTCTGGCTAACGAGTTCTCTGACCACTTCGGGTTGAGTTCTGGCTAACGAGTTCTCTGACCACTTCGGGTTGAGTTCTGGCTAACGAGTTCTCTGACCACTTCGGGTTGAGTTCTGGCTCACGAGTTCTCTGACCACTTCGGGTGGAGTTCTGGCTCACGAGTTCTCTGACCACTTCGGGTTGAGTTCTGGCTAACGAGTTCTCCGACCACTTCGGGTTGAGTTCTGGCTAACGAGTTCTCCGACCACTTCGGGTTGAGTTCTGGCTAACGAGTTCTCTGACCACTTCGGCACTTCGGGTTGAGTTCTGGCTAACGAGTTCTCTGACCACTTCGGGTCGCCGTCTACTTTCCAAGCAGAGGTTCTGGAGACTCTCATAGCTTCGCAAAGGTGGCCTGGTTCCAAACTGTTTCAGGACTCGGATGTCTTAAAAGAAAAAGATCAGTGTTCTGCTACATTTAGTAAAATAACTCCTCCAGTGTTGATTGCTGTTAAAATCATATAATCTGATTTAGGGCTGAAACAATTTATCAGATTAATCGTTTATTGAAATAATTGTCACCTAATTAAGTAACAGATTAATTGTTAACTGGATTATAGAGACTGTAAAACATGCCTTCTAGCTGACAGAGCGACACACTTAGAGCAGGAATTATAGGAAAAATGTAAAAAAAAAGAATATTTTCTATTTAAGATGCAATAAGGTGCAATTTTAGTTATGTCTTGTGTGTTGCCAGTTTTACTTATATAGGTTGGTCTCTGTGGGGAAACTTTAGTAATTTTTTTTTATTCAGTAGATAAACAAGCGTTGGGTACCGTTGTGATAAATTCTGAGATTAGCATCACTTATAATTTATAGTGATGCAGGATATAAAAAATTTCAATCGATAACCGATAATTTTCTGCTTTTCATGGTCGATACCGATTCCTATACCGATAAGTTCATATTGAATATAGTTTTTGCATAATCAGCTGCTTATGCTGGATGCAGTTATGAAAAACAATTATTTAGTAGCTCTGGCTTATCTATAACAGCAAACAAAAGGTTTTGGTTCTTCAAATGTTTATTTTTTTATGCTATCACACAAAAAGTGTTAATTCGCTTTACATAACAAAGGAAACAAATCAATTCACAATACAAAGAGCATCTCTTGAAAATTACTGAACAGATCCATGCCTGCATAGGTATTTGTGAAGTCAAATATTTATACCAAATATGAAATTATATGCATTTACATAGTCAGCCTGAGTTACAAAAATGTAATCAAAAAATAAAGTGCATCCTCAAACCACAGCTAAGGTGAAAGACAAAATGCCAACTTCTTAAAAATGTTCAGACACACACATGCATGTCAGCGTTAGTTCAAAAAACTAAATAAAGTAAATAAAAGTGCATCCTCAAATATGTGGCGACGGCATCGAGGGCAGGCAGGGAGACGTCCGAGAAGAAGCGACGGCTAGGGATGGTGTAACGCGGCTCCAAAAGGGCTGTTAAGTTACGAAAACCCGGGTTCTCGATGACAGAAAAAGGCTGGTTGTCGAGCGCTATAAATTCCATCACTTTGTCGTTAATAGCTGTAGCTTTTTCACTCACTCTTGGAAAGTTTTTAGTTATTAAATGCCTTCTGAATGGATACATCTGCGGTTTGTGTTATTGTCGTCGTTTTAGCCTTAGCACCTCCGGCTGCTGCCGCGGCTGCTTCGTATTCTTTCCATGTTGCTTCGCCACGATGACGATTTTTAGGTGTGTTATAAGGTTTGTTGTGTTGTACCCTGAGGTCTTCTTTCCTCCTCTCGAAATCGTTGCAGAGCAGGTGTTGCAAACTGGTGAAGACATGTTTGATAATTTACAGTCAGGCAGTAATGGAGCCAAGCCTGCGTCCTAATAGTAAGGAGCGCAAAAGCCACAGGTCTTGTCCCGCTTTGGGGCTACTCTGCCTGAATAAAATGCCACCGAATTTAATTAATTTATTGTCTATTTTTATTGGAAAATTTTACCTATCGGGCCGATAAAAAATTCCAGCAAATCGGCTGATATTTTATCGGCCCGATAGGTATCGTGCATCCCTAATGATTTAGATAGGTTTAAAACTACAGCGCAGTAAAAGCTACTATTAAAAACTGCTATTAAAGTATTATTATTACTTTAAGGCTTTATTTCTGTAAGTTAAATTTTCATGCTCTTTAAATGTGAGACGGCGACGCCTGCAGAAACTAGAGACATCTTAGGGGTCCTACTTCTGATTCCAGATGATCCCTGACATGATTTAGATCAACTAAAAACTGTTTAGTATTTCTTTTCTTAACCGATGTTCTGCTGTTTCCTTTTACAGATGGAATATCAGCGGCAGGTGGAAAGCGTCCGAGCTCAGAACGCCCTGGAAGGAGATTTCTCCGTATCTCAGGCTGAGATGTCCTCCAGACAGGCAATGCTAGAGAACGCCTCGGATATTAAGGTAACGCCTTCACCTCAGGATCTACGGAGGGAAGTTAGTTCCATTATTGTTGCAAAGAACACATTGTAGAAATGTAGAAAACGAGCAACTTTGAGAGACCTTAAAGTTTAAAGAGGAACTAAACCTTTTTTTTCTCAGCTTATATGTATTTATAAATATATTCATATTTAATTAATAAATTGTTATTTTTTTATTTCTCTTATCAGATTTATTTTAACTAATTGCATCCTTTAAAACCGCTTTGCTCTGTGGTTAAGAGTGAAGATGCATTTCTGTTGGTCTGCTGGATGCCGGCGACAACATTATTGGTTAGAAGCAGGTTTTTGACTCTGTCTACAAAAAAAATACATTTTAATAAAAATATTTTAAAAAATTGGCAGGGGCGGAGCTAGATGTGGGGGCCAGGGGTGGCCATGGCCACCCTTAGCCAATCATTGGCCACCCCTACCAGTTTTTCCCTCTAATACAGACGGTGGCAGCAGTAATACTCTCAAGTTTAATATTTTATTTTTCATATTTTAACAGTTACTTGACAACAAAAACAGTGTGGTTAATTATGCACATGAATATATTAACATTAAAGATGTTAGATACTGAATTTATGCTCTTTTTTGAACTAGATTTTGTCTTATGGGGTAAAGAGAAAATGATGAAGATTCATAGATGACCTGCAGAGTTAAATAACTGCTTTAATAATACTTAATCCGTTTACTTTAAATAGTAGTACATGTAAATATAAATTTTATGCAGCACGATCATTGATAAAAGTAGGTAAGTCAATGAATAAGATGTTTGCCTGAGAAGTCAAGCCTAGACTTTTAATTTAACAGGATGGATGCTAAAATATGGGTCTATTTGTTAGCAAAGGCTGGAGGAAAGTATAGTTAGTTTTTATTTAGAAAATATGGATGTTGTGTTTGTTCATTTTGGAACGGTGGAAATTGTGAGTTTCTGTTGCCTTTCTGCTTTCAGCCCCCCCTCAGTGTACTTTGGTTATTGCCTGGTCACCCATATTAAAATTTTCTGCCTGCGCCTCTGAAAATTGGGAAAAAAAATTAAGTTTTGAAAAATTACCTATTCTAAAAAATAAAATGTAGAAAAAAAAATATCTCAGAAAAAGTAAAGATGCAATCAGTATACAAATTATCTTTTTGCTTGAAACTGCGGCTGCAACTAACGATTACTTTACAAATAATTTAATCTGTAGATTATTGTTCTGATTAATCGATTTATAATCAAATAGCCAAAGGTTCCTAAAAGAACCTTCTCGCCACAAAGAACAGGTTCACTCCTTTTCTTTTTCATCGTTAGTAAAACAGCTGAAATTAGCAGAAGAAGCGTTTTTTTTTCCGGTTTCTTGTCGTTTTCATTCCTTAGCCGTGGGATGTTTGTTGAAGCTTTGCTGTCTGTCTTTCAGCTGGAGAAGTTCAGCATATCTGCTCATGGCAAGGAGCTGTTCGTTAACGCCGACCTTCTGATTGTGGCAGGAAGAAGATATGGTTTAGTCGGACCAAATGGGTATATTCCTTCTTTATGATGTTAAGCTGAAAACCTGCTTTTAGAAAAGTCATTTTATTAGTTTTGTGTTTATTGACCTCTATGAGAAAAGCTGCTATTAATGTTCATGGATAAAGCTGCTGTTGGTCTTAACATTTAGATTTATTAATTTAGGCATTAAAAGCCTCCTACATTTTAACATTAGCTGGAGGTTTAGTTCTTTCTTTGGCTACAGTCATGTTTTAACCTTTAACTCGCTTTAAAAATGTTTAAAGCCTTTTCTTCTGTGCTGTGTTTAGATTTGAGCTCCAAACATCAGCGAGTCGTGGTTTAGCAGCAGAATAATTATATCCACGTCTCCACCATGAATCCAGTGTACAGCAGTGAGAGAAGGAACAATACAGAGATACAGGAGAACTTTTTCTCCCAATGAGGCGTTGATTAAAATGAGGCCCGGTTACCAAGGAACTTTCGATGGTAGAAGCTCTACTATTTTCACTGAGACCTCCTCACATAGGTGGGGTGCTATCAACATGTTTACTAGGGCTGGGTAAAAAAAACGATCGATTTTGAATCGATTCCTTTACATTTTTGCAAAATCAATGTCTAGGGAATGAGATCGATTAGTTTTATAGTGACCCGCGTGACGTTCACGTTCAAACGAGCAGGAAAGATGCACTCAAGATGACTTCAAGCCAGACAGCTGCAAATATAGCCAATAGGTTGACTGAAGACATTAACAAATGGAGGCTGAGCAGCAAACACCCTGTAGTTACAGACAACGCTGCAAATATGGATTGTGCAGCGGAGATAATGCAGCTCATGCATGTCTGCTGTGTCACGCCTGTTTGCTCAAGTGAGGATTCACTTTTTCACTTTTCACAAACAAGTTTGCTTTTTTAAGACAGTTTTGTTCACATCTCAAGTTTAAACTAGAGATGTCCCGATCCAGATTTTTGCACTTCCGATCCGATACCGATATTGTTTTTGGACTTCCGATCCGATACCGATACTGGCCGATACCAGCCTATCCGAGCATGTATTTAAGTTAAAGTATTTAGCCTTAGTTGTAAGACTCATGTTGAAAAGGGTTTTAGTACTCTTGATAACATCTAACCAGCTGAATTAGGTGAGATTGAATAAAACACAATGCTTGGTAACAACAAACTTACCTGTTTATTAAGAGATAAACACAAACTGGACAAAATTATGAATAGCAATCTGAAATTGCACAGTGAGCAGTAAAACCGTAAACAGTTAAAGGTGCAAGTATTACTGTACGTTTTAATAAAAATGCACAACAGGGAAACACTGGCGCAAAATAGTGGAATGGATCGTTTCAATCGGCGAAACTGGAAAATACGGACCGGATTAAAAAAAAAAAAACTGGATCGGCATTTTACATGCTTTGCCGATACGCATTTTTTTGCCAATATCGGCGTCCCGATCCGATACGTGGATCGGATCGGGACAAGCCTAGTTTAAACTGTCTGATTTACAAGTTTGCACTTGGTGTTTAATGTGGCAGGAAAAAAACAAAACACATGAGTATTTTTGAAACAGTTGAACCACTTTCATTACTGTAAAAATAGATCGAATCGAAATTAATCGATTTAGAACTCTGTGAATCAAAATCGAATCGATTCAGGACCTTGGCCAAAATACCCCGGCCTAATCTTTTGACTGGATTTCCAAGAAAAAGCACAAAAAAAAAAAACAATCCACTGGACTTTGTTTCCAAGTTTAAAGACGTTTCTCTTTTAACCAGGAAGCTTTTTTATTTAATGGCTTTATCCAGCAGACCAACAAAGCCTTGTTTTTGTTTAGAAAACGTGCAAATTGAAACGGATGAACGGGTCCACCCCTTTAAAATGGGGGTCATTTGGCTTCTGTTGTCTGCCTGCAATGCCCCATAAACCCCCAAACAGAGCGGATGGACTCAGATTTCTGCTTTTAAAAACCTACAATCCAGCGATAGAATTTATTCATTCCCTCTATCATTGCAACCCCAACCCTTTACAGGAGAACAGAAAACCTCGGCTATTCATCCAGGCCAACAATTCCCTTTAACGCCCCCCCTTTCAGAGGCATAGACGGGTATGGGGCATTGCAGGCTAACAATAGAACCCAAACGACCCCCATTCCAAAGGGGCTGAGTTCTCTTATCCTTCTGCATTGCAGAGGAGTCACAGGGCGGAAATACGTCACCAATCCGACTAAAAATTTAAACCGATTTACTCGTCATTAAAAATTAGATATTTCTCTTGCACATTTAAAAAACCTATTCATATATTTCGACATATTTTAATTTTATAATTTTTATTAGTTTTCTTATGTCTTAATCAAGAACATTGAGTGGGTGGGGCGACGTCCTAGCGCCCTCTATTTGCCGCTGCCGGTATCTCATACTTCCTGTTCTCATCTGTCTTTCAGCAAAGGAAAAACCACGTTACTGAAGCACATAGCAAACAGAGCTCTCAGTATTCCTCCCAACATTGACGTGTTGCTGTGTGAACAGGGTAGGTGAACCATCTTCCTCTCCAGCAGCCCCCCATAAACCCTGCTGACTCCGTCTGTCTCTGTTAGAGGTGGTAGCCGATGACACGCCGGCCGTGCAAGCTGTGCTGAAGGCCGACACCCGGCGGCTCAAGCTCCTGGAGGAGGAAAAGCAGCTCCAGGCCCGTCTGGAGAAAGGAGAAGACAGCGTGGCTCAGAGGCTGGAGAAGGTGAATACGCTGTTCTGTTCCCACCGATTATGTCTCACAGTTCAGGATCAGATCTGCTGCCTTTAGGAGTCCTTCTGCCTTATTACTGCAGAACGCAGTCCAAACCGTTCCTCACCAACTCCACACCCGGACGCCTCCTTCATGAGGCGTCTCCTGTTTGAAGGAGGTCCAGGATCAGGACACGCTGGATGTCTCACAGCTGGCTCTGGAACGCTAACCTAGCCTGCTAGCTGTGTTTGTGCTTTAAGGGGGACCATATCTGTGAGCTGCTGAGCCCAAAGCAAACATGGCGGCGCAGGAAGACGTACGCACATCTGCTGGATCAGAGCCCAGGATGAACAGGAAGAGCATCACAGATATGAGAGTTGTTGTTGTTCCTTATGCCAACCTTTTACTTTGATTGGCTAAAACAGAATTTAGGTAGGTGGTGCTCTCTGTGATGCTCCGCCCAATCAGCTCCTCGGGTTCTGCTGAACATCCCTCCGTTCCCTGAAATGGGAGCAGATCCAGATTAACAAAGGAAATAACTAAACTTGGGGGCTGCACGTTAACAATCTGGTTGCCAGGTTACCGAGACGCCTTGTTCTCCCTCCAGAGGAGGCGAGGAGAGGAGAGGGAGCCGGTCTCAGACGCAGGGGAAGACTATTGAAACCAGAACATTTACTGGATCTAGACAGAAGAACTCAGTTGGAACCTCCATCTGAGGTTTTAGGCTCATTTTTCTCTACTTCCTGCCTCATATCTACGTGCCCCTGAGCAAGGCGCCTTGTCCTGGAATGCTGCATATGCCTGTATAAATCGGAATGTTTGATTCGTTGGTTTTTGCTGGAGTGTAGTTGCCATGGCTACAGAATCTGTGGAGCATCTCCAGGAAATGTTTTCTTCAGACGCAGAAAAGTTTAAAACCCTAAACGGACTATTTCTGATGATGCACTTTAAATGCAACATCCTGCAGAATGTGGAAAGAAAAAAACAGAAGCAGTGGGACTTCCTTCAATCTCAGAAAGCTCATGTGTTCTTCTTTGAGCCCTCGCCTTTGTCTGCCCTGCTTTAAAGAGCAGAGGGATGAGGAGCACCTTTACACCTCTTTCTTTGATCTTTGCTCTGTTTTTTTTTTTAATACAGCGTCTCCTTTCTTCTCATTATCAGGTCTATGAAGAGCTCCGAGTGATCGGAGCTGCAGCAGCTGAAGCCAAGGCCAGAAGGATCCTGGCTGGTTTGTCGTTTACCCCTGAGATGCAGAACAGACCCACTAAAAAGTTCTCAGGAGGGTGGAGGATGAGAGTTTCTCTAGCTAGGTACCCTGCACACCCTGTCATCGCTGTTTTTTAGGTTGTTTACCTTCTTTATGTTCACCTTCTCCTTACCCATGTCTGCAGAGCCCTTTTCATGGAGCCCACGCTTCTGATGCTGGACGAACCCACCAACCACCTGGACCTGAACGCTGTTATCTGGCTCAACAAGTAAATCACAACCGAATATAGGAGGCCAGCATGTTTACACCATATACTGACTCATATGCTGCGTTCAGACCGTAAGGGGGAGCTGTAGCAAATGCAGTGGACTTGTTTAGAATTCTTATACAAGACAGAAAACAGAGAGAGAGGAGCGTTGATCGCTCAAGTTGAAATTGCGACACGGCAGCTGATCCCGGACTGGTTGTAGGCAAAGTTTTTTTTAAATTAAAATGGAATACAGAGAATAAAATGAAAACAATCTTAAAAAGGTAGAAATGAAGAATGTTCTCCAGAGGCTTTTAAATAAATAATAAAACAAGGCATTTTAATTTAGTTCTTCATGTAGAAAGAATATTAATCATCCTCACTTACCTCCAGCACAGACCCAGTCCGTCTCAACCCAGCATTGGTGCTTCCTGTGGGCGTCGATTTACAAAGAAGTCCTGCTGAATCCGACCAAATCAGAGCTGCGTCTAGATGAACTAAAGTGTTTGTTTTTTTTTAACAGCTTTTGTGGCTTTTCCAAAAATTGATGATCTCCTCAAGGTGATTCAAAAGTTGTTATAGAGAAAAACGTAGCAGCAGTCCATGATAAGTTTCACCTGTGCTTTTATTGTGAAATACTGAGAGGAAATGCTATTGGGTTGCCAGGGGTAACGCCGGTCCACAGCGACGGGTCTGAGAGGGTGGTGATTTAGTAAATATTAAACAATCTTTCCAGCCACTAAATAAGGTAAACATGCCCACTGTTATATTCATTACCAGTCTATAAAGACGTGTGATGTAATGCAAAAACTTTATATTGTAGCACTAACGTCTGTTGGGACGGTGATGTCATCTTAAAAATCAAATCAGCCCAAACTATATTTTACCTGCACACATGAAGTAGGCCAGATAATTTTGATTAAATTCAGAGCTTAATGGGTGGAAAGTTGACCTCTGGATGACCTAGAAAAAAAACTTTAATATCTCTGAAAGAGCAGGACATGTGATGCGTTTTCTTTTTCCCTCATTTTTAAAAATTACCATTTTAAAAGCACAAACCTGCATTAATGAAGCAATAACTATTCAGTCTGTTTGCTGAGTTTTTTCACGTCAGCAGGCTTTCAGCTTCACGCGGCTGAAGCTCCTCCTAGATCAGGGGTCGGCAACCCAGACTGTTCAAAGAACCAATCCCTTAATTGTCCCATAGTAGGGGGCTGCTCAGTGGCACAGTGGGTAGCACTGCTGCCTTGTAGCAAGAAGGTTGAAGGTTCGATTTGTGTCTTTCTGGTACTCCGGCTTCCTCCCAAAGTCCATGTCTCTGTGTTGCCCTGCGATGGACTGGTGACCTGTCCAGGGTGGACCGCCCCTCTCACCCACTGACACCAGCACCCCTCGCCACCCCACCTGGGATAAAGCGTGTCAGAAAATGGATGGATCTCCCACAGTGGGGGATTTTAACCCACCCCCTTGGGGAGCTGTGGGGATCGAACCGGGTACTGGCAACCTTCTCAGAGCACAAGCGCACTGCTCTAACCACTAGCCCAACACTCCTAAATGAAATTCAAAAGTCTTCTATCAGCCTGATATGGCAACACAGGCTCTAATAACCCATTTACCCAAACCAGAGAGTGGTTTGGGTAAATGGGTGCAGAGAGTGGTCCGAGCTCAGTAACTGAAAGCGTGTATAAATGGAAAGCAAACTGAACCGAACCAAGCTAGACACAACCGGACCGAGCTAACTGCAGACCAGTTCCAGAGGTGGGCTCGGCTCGGTTTTTCCCTGGCTCGGTTCTCTGATAACAAGAGCGCATGAGCAGAACGCGTCATCTCCATCTGGCTGCACATTGCGATTCACACTCCATTCCAGTAGGTGGCAGTAATGCCCCTCCGGAAACAGAAGAACAACTTCTTCTTCAACTATAAACAACAATCGAAATCTTCTCCACGCAACATTTTAAATAATGGCATTTTAAATAATGGCATTTTAAATAACACCGAAGTACAGCAATAATAATCAAGCATAACTTTCTGAAAGTGACGGGCGCCGCCATTTTTAATTTGTTTGATTCCCTCCTCCTTCGTCTTCTTCTTCTTGTGTTTTATGGCAGTTGACAAACAACTTTTGGTGCATTACCGCCACCAACTGCTGGATTTCCTCCTTCAATACTGGCAGTAATACCGCAGATCGTCACTAGGAGGCGAGGAGTCGAGGAACCGAGGTAGCGTGATGTGTAAACGGTCGTCAGAACCGAGCTCGGCCTGGTTAACTGATCCGAGCTCGGACCGGTCTCTGCATGGATCGTTTTTTCAAGGGTAGTGGAAATGGGCTCTAAGTGTTTTATCCCACTATAGAAAAGGACTAAGTGGGCTTAAATATATAATGAGCATTCATGATGAAATGTTTATCCTGGAGCAAATGTCACATCATGGGACTCTGCTTTACGATATTGTTGGATGGTGTTTTAAGTTTAAATTCCATTATAATATTAATGTAAAAGGTTTGGTTGCATTGATGAAATTATAGAAATACAATAAAGAAATGATTGTAATAAGAAATTATTATTTCGAGGATTTGGTGAAAAAATAGGAAGAAAATTCACATCCCTTCATCAAAGCGCTACCTGTTGGATCTATGAATGGTTTTCTATGCTTGCAACCAAACTAGCAGCAGTAATGGAGTTTGGAGATGCAATCCACTCCTTAAATCTATCTTTGCTCTCCTCTAATTTATCTGTAAGTTCTGCAATCGCACTTTTTCTCTCCCTCCCAACTTGGTGGTCGGCTGCACATTTAGCCTTCCATGGAAATGCTTTTCAGAATGACTGTTATTCGATTACTTCTCCGTACAAATAAAACATGCAGGAAATCCTTCTGGATTAATAATGAAAGCAAATGATTCGCTCTATTCTTCTTTGAATCCTTCCTTTGGGATCCATGGTCTGAGACACACCCACCGCTTTGTTTACAGCCACAGCCTGGCGCTAAAACGTGCTGCAGGCTATGACGCAAATCTTCCTTAACAGAAATGTTTACGTTTATTCTTTACATTTATTTAGAATACACATCTTTACACCACTGGAAACATAATTACTGTTTATTAGACAGACAAAAATATATATTTTTTTCCGTTTTCATACATTTTTGAAAAAGCTCCAGGGAGCCGCAAGGGGGGCGTTAAAAAGCCGCAGGTTTCCGACCCCTGGTCTAGATTAACCGGAAAGCGATGCTTTGTCACCTCTGCTTCCATTAGCTTTCCACCAGAATGATGTTTCTGTTTCCTTGTGGCTTTTTTGCTCTGAATGTTGTAAAAACATCTAAAGTTTTCATGGAACTTGTTTCCAGTTACCTGCAAGGCTGGAAGAAGACTCTCCTCATCGTTTCCCACGACCAGAGTTTCCTGGATGATGTTTGTACTGATATCATCCACCTAGACAACCAGAAACTCTACTATTACAGAGGAAACTACTGTAAGTGTCCGGTTTGCATCACTATCAAATAGTTTCTAGTTTTCATCAGTTAGAAAAGCAGCGCTTAATGAGTTAATGTGAGATTTAACATTTTATTTAAGATAAATTTGAAACCAAAAATGATCTTTTTTATAAAATGGGCAAAATATTCCCTGCTGTTGCATTCAGGAACCATTGGAAAAAAGAAATACCTTTAAAACATCTTCACTGATTGTTTATTTCAGCAATGGTGACATCAGCAGATCAGTCTTCAGATCCAACTGGATCCTGAGCTTAAAACCAACCAACCACCAACTATGTTTTAAAGACATTTCTGTTTCACACGGTTCCTAAAAGCAACATCATTCCACAATCTGTGCAGCTAAGCCCCGCCTCCAAGGGGAAGCTGCCTGAAACTGGAAAATAATTTAATTTTAATAGTGGTTTAGAACATTTTGTTTCAGTTTAAGTCTTTTTTTTCTACAGTTAAAATAAAAAAAGTAATTTTCTTATGTTGATGTTGAAAGGTTTTCATTCCTCTGGATATGGGCTTCCCTCTGTGTTTCAGTGACCTTCAAGAAGATGTACGTGCAAAAGCAGAAGGAGCTGCAGAAGCAGTACGACAAACAGGAGAAGAAGCTGCAGATGCTGAAGGCTAGCGGAAAGTCCACCAAGCAGGCCGTGAGTCCAGTTCCCTGTAGTTCTGATGGTCGTGGTTCTGCTTCGTTCCGCCTGCTGACGCTTCGATTGAACGTCTAGGAGAAACAGACCAAGGAGGCTCTGACCAGAAAGCAGCAGAAAGGCAAAAAGAAGGGAGCTCAGGAGGAGGAGAGCCAGGATGCAACTGAGCTGCTGAAGAGGCCTAAAGAGTACACCGTGAAGTTCACCTTCCCCAACCCTCCTCCGCTCTCGCCCCCCATCCTGGGGCTGCACAGTAAGAGCCGCTTCCTTCTCCCCTGTGCTTTGAATTAAAGCAGGCGGGCGTATACTGTCAGAGCGAATCTCCACTCAGTTTCCGCCTCATGGTGGGTCCTGCGTCGTGTAGCAGAGTTTAGTTTCTTCCAGAGGAAAGTGGAAGATCCTATTTTGGAGAACTGGAATGGTTCCATAGAAAAGTTTACTCACAGTGACACAAAATCAGAATTTATATCATTTATTAAGTTTATGTAATACAAATCTAGATGAATGAATGACTGTTGGTCCAAACCTTGGTGAAAACCCATCAGGGAATTACATGTTTAATGCAGAAGGGATAATTGACTTTGGCTTCATTCCCACTGCAGGCTTTGATCCTCAATTCCCATTTTACTGTGAAATCAGATTTTTGTTCACATTTCCAAATATATGCGACTCTACATTCTTAAGTGTCCTGCATGCGCAGTAGAGGGCGCAATGACATCACAAGCCAACGTGCTAAGCATGGATGGTAGCGCTGAAGCGCATCTAGCGATCTTTCCCAACCTTAAACACACAATCTTTTCAATATGGTTAACAAAGGTCACTATTCTGAGTAGTAGTATTTATCTTTAAGTATTAATGCCGTTCAGGTGGGATTAATGGGACCTGGCCGTTCAGACACAGGTCGCATTTGAAAAGATCAGATTTGTATCGGATTCAGGACCACAGAGCCACGTGGCCTGGATCACACTGGGAAAAGTCAGATCTGTGATGTTCAGGCTGTCATGAAAAGGTCGGATTCAGGTCGCATATGGGCAAGAAATATCGGATTTGGGTCATTTCAGGCTGCAGTGTGAACGTAGCCTAATAGCCTTTAAAATGGCAGGAAAACACTTCCTTCTATCCTCAGATTCCACCAGAAGGCTTTCTTTTTCTTTCATGTCTTCTGCTCTTCCTGCCCCCAAACCCTCCTGGTTTATAGATATTGAACCCAACCTCCATGATATCTCTGGATCTGGGCCACTTAAGGCAGAATATTCACCAAAAGAAACAAAACTTTACAGTACATTAGGCCTTCCGAGTTTTTTCCAGAAGAAACCTGCTGGAAAAAACAGCATATGGAAGAAACTTCCAACCCTGTGGTGTGGTATAGAGGGGGTAATGAGGGGAAATCAGCCTCTCATGCCCACCTCCTGCTCAGGAATCTAAAGGTTGGAAGAAAATCGAACATGTCTGAAATTCAGTCGGCCCTCGTGAGGCTTTAGTGAACGAATCATGAAGCAGAGCTACGATCCGATTAACCAGAACCTCGTGCAGTGCCCATCTGCAAACAAGGGACCAGCGCCATCTCTCTGCGTGTGGTTCCTGGACATGCAGGGTGAGCAGTTGGATTGCATCATAGCGTCGGGCCGTACTGTGGAAGAACATCGTGAGCTGTGAACTTTTAAACCTTTCGGTTACAGTTTGAGCTGTAGCTGAGAATGCCTACGGTTCACTGTGAAGGTCATTAGTGGAAACGGTTCAGTCCTGTTTCTATCACCTTTATCTAAACATAAACCCACACATAGCTGTGGCTAAAATTCTACCACTCAGACTAACATCATGATGATGATTAGACACAGCTGTGTTCATGAAGCTTTATCCTCAAACATCCTTCAATTATCCTTTAATTAGTCAGTGGGGCGATTGGAAATTCACTAAACTGAATCAAAATATGGAGACAATTTGCTAAATGTCAAACTAAATACAAAGAGAGTGAAAACTTAATACTTTATGGAGTAAATAAACTCCCCTCTGTGCTGTTTGATCAGTAGAGAATCAGAAAACCTGCCTGGTTTCTTCATTACAGTTGCCTTTTGTATCTATGCTTCTTTTTCTATGTCTGCTTCTGTCTCCTTGAACCCCAGTGGGCCTCAGCAGATGGCCGCTCACACTGAGCCTGGTTCTGTTGGAGGTTTCTTCCTGTTCAAAGGGAGTTTTTCCTCTCCACTGTCGCTACAAGCATGCTTAGTGTGAGGGATTGCTGAAGAGTCAATGAGTCGATGCAATCAGCTGGTTTTCCTTAGATAGAAAACTTTGAATCAATCTGACTGGATGATCTGTTTAAATTGTAAAGTTTCTTAGATGACGTGTTTTGATTTGGCGCTATAGAAATAAACTGAATTGAAATCATGTCTGTTGTCTTATTTTTACAGGCGTTGACTTTGGCTACGAGGGTCAGAAGCCTCTCTTCAAAAACGTGGACTTTGGCATCGACATGGAATCCAGAAGTGAGTATCCAGCGCTTCTTTCTGGGACTTTGGCTTCAGCTGGGATGCAGCAGCAGCGGCGCTGTATTGGGTGATGACATGATGGCAGATGAAGCGTAGCGATGGTCCCTCTGTTGAACCCGACCAACATCTCTTTCCTTCTTACTTCCTGTAGTCTGCATCGTTGGACCTAATGGCGTTGGGAAGAGTACTCTGCTGCTGCTGCTCACAGGAAAACTGAACCCTGTAAGTCTGCGGACCAAACTCCATCCAACGCTGTGATCCTAGACACCAAGTTAACTGAAAGCTTGTTTTTTACAGATCAAGGGTGAGATGAGGAAGAATCATCGCTTGGTGAGTCACTGATTGAAATGGGGGGGGGGGGTCAGTAGCATACTGGCACAGTGATCACATCCATCATGGCGATTCGATTCAGTATCGATTTCCTGACTCAAAGATTCGATTACCGTATTTTCACGACTATAAGGCGCACTTAAACGTCTTTTTTTCCCCTCAAAATGTGCGGTGCGCCCTATGTGTGTTGTAACTGCGACTTTTGAGACCACCTCATTGAGGAGATGATGAAAGAGTGGCTGAATGTAAGGAGACCAGCTGTTTTTTTTCCACTCATCACCATTAATCTGTAACTCCATGCGTGCCCATCTCACAGCTGATGTGAAAAACATGGGGAAACAAATTAACGCTGTGCTCGCTGTTCAACTGCTCAACATCGGTGTGAACCGGACCCAGCAGGTGCAGCAGAAGCAGCGAGTTTACATGCAAAGTCAATGGTTGACGCGCGTATAGGTGCAGCAAAAGGTCCTGCAGCGCGTTTTGAGCCGCAGGTGCAGCACGTCGGGATCGTTTAAGCATCTGACGCACCGCCAACGTGCTGCTGCTGCTCGAGATGGAAAAATTGAAGTTTTGCTGCTGGACGCGCCGCATTAACCAATCAGAGAAGCTGATCTGGGAGCTGACAGCGAGACAGACACAGCGCTCTGATGACATATGATATTAAATGAAAAAGGCTGGATTGATGAGGAGATGATGAAAGCGTGGCTGAGGCAGGTGTATGTGAGGAGAACAGGTGTTTTTTTCCACGCATCACCATCGCTGCGTGCCCATCTCACAGCCGATGTGAAAAAAGGTGAATCAATGAACGCCGTGCTCACCGTTATCTCGGGGGTCTGACAAAGGAACTTCAACCGCTTGACATCGGTGTGAAGCGCCCGTTCGTTGCGAGCGGCGTGGGAGCGATGGATGGCCGACAGAGACCACAGTTTCAGGATAAGTGGAAGGCAGCGCCGGGCAAGTTACGCCACAGTTTGCGGATGGATTGTAGATGCTTGGACTAACGTGTCTGCTGGCTCTGTTGTTCAAGCTTTCGCAAAAGCCGGCATTATTTCTGAGGAGCTGCGCTGCACGGAAAGTGACTGACAGCGAAGAAGGGGAAACTGGCATGTCTGATTTAGCGCAGCTGTTTAATTCAGAAACAGAGGATGATGACTTTGATGGGTTTGATTAATACTTTGTAATAAATACATGAATAAAGCACAATCATACTCAGTTTTGCTCCCGCTCTATTTTTCTACCTGAAAACTTAATTCAACAGCAGCCTCTGGGCCGGGTCTCCTCCTCTTCACCGCGGTGGCTGGCAGGTGTTTTTTCATCTAAATAATCTTAATCTTGCAGCTATATTTGCTGTGATCAGTGGGAATAAAGTAGTTTTAATATGTTTTTAAGTGAGAAAGGCCACCTGAAAACTTAATAATTGCAGTCAGTTCATCCAGATGATCTATTTCTGTCGGAGGCGCTCAGACCCCCACATACCAGCGGTGCACCGACAGCAGAAATCGTTTCGTTCACCGCGGCTGCTGGCAGGTGTTTTTCATCTAAATAATTTTAGCTGCAGGCACCAGGATACCGGTAATAAAAGCGAACATATTCTGTCGGCAGGTTTCAGGATTTTAAGTTAATTTAGGAGTGATCACAGCGCTGTGTCATCAGTGATGTGTCTGTCTCACGGCCAGCTGCCAGGTTTGATTAATACTTTGTAATAAATACATGAATAAAGCACAGTCATACTCAGTTTTGCTCCCGCTGTATTTTTAAATACGCAGTAGAGGTATTTAAAGGTAGTAGAGGACATGTACCTGTATATAAAAAACGCGCCCTATAGTCCGGTGCGCCTTATGTGTGTGTTAAATACAGAAATGGGACACATAACTGAGAGTGCGCCTTTTAGTACGGTGCGCCTTATGGTCGGGAAAATACGGTATTTTCAATACTCAAGAATACACCACCATACGATTCGATTTGATTAATTATTTCTTTTTTTCACACCCCGCAGGCTAGACAATGTTTCAAATTTGAAATAAATCAATTAAAGCTGTAATATAGTTATGCATTTTTTTTTTAGAAACTACAGCAAATAACAGAAGTAGAAAAGTTTTACTCCACCTGTTCCTATTAAAACCTCATTCACTGAAAAATAATAATTCCCCTGCGTTAAAGATTCTGAAAGGCTTTGCATCAAAAATACTGCATGTAATCAGTGCAATGAGTTCAATGCAATACCTCGGCTCCAGACGTCCCGCCCCCTCCACAGACGCTCCGCTGCTCCTCTCCCAGACTGTAGCTTACCGCTAACAGTGCCGCAGACAGGAGGCCGGCTTGTTTTGTTTTTATGACCGAAATTGCGGAAAACAACTCGTGAAGTTTGACCCGCTAGAAGAGCGAGGTGCTCGAGAACGCTGGGACCCTTTTTCCACCTGGATCTCCGCTCTTTTTGGCCCTCATGTCCCTCCGTCGTCGGACTAAACTCGCCCCCACTTCCTCGCCGCCTCGGCCGTATCTAGACCCACAGCGTGTAGCTCAGACCACGCTTCAATATTGAGCATAAATCAAAAATGTCTGCGTCAAGCTCACTGCGACACACTGCTGTAAGAGTATAACCAGGAAGCGAGGCAGGACGGCAAAATAGGTTTAGCGCCACCGCAGCACGGGAGGGAGAATTACACCCAGGAGCAAATGGATAAAAATAGACCAGAGGAGAAAAAAAAACATGAATCGATTCTCTTGCGGACGTGTCGATGCATCGATACAAAATGATTATTTACACCCCTAGTAGTGACAGACGGTCTGACCCACCATCTTCACCAGAGAAGGGAGGAATGAGGCCAGAACCCTGATCCAGTTTGATCCGCTGGGTCAGAGGTCCTGTCTACACTAGCAGCCATTCAAAATGGCACTCCGCAGTCAAACGCCAGCCGAATGGCAGCCCACTCCCCTTCCACTCCCAGAAAAATCCCCTCCAACTTCCAGGCACTGGCACTCTCCTGGGCGTGCTTTTTTTTTTTTTTTTTACTCTGACTCCACCTTTCACTAAATTACAGGGTCTGACCAGAAGATGACGCTTCTCTTTAGATCTTAACCCTTTATAGGGGATTTAGTGAAAAATCATAATTTAAATGTCTTTAACATAATATTTTTTACAGGGTTTTGCCAAAAAGGTAAATAAATGCTGCAGAGAATGTGTTCACTAAGTATTTGGAGATCCCACAGTCCATGAATGCAACATGGAACGGGACATGGCTCCCCATCAATCAATTTCCCCGCCCACTCCCATCGGATTAAGGTCAAAATCTGAAAGTGTAAAAAAAAAATCCTGAAACTGAAAAAGGAAAGCAAATAAAAACTCAAAATATAAAATCTAAAACTGCAATAAAGAAAAGAAACAAAAAGAGGAAAAGGTATAATTAAAATACTAAATTGAATAATGTGTATTTTCAAGTGAAGGGGAAGAATTTTTGCTTTTTTAGTTTCACAGATTAGAAGGTAAAAAGTTGACATTCAATATCACCTTATATTTTTCCTGTTTCAACTAAGATTTATAAATTTACAAACATTTTGACCCGTTTTTGACTCCATAAGAGCCTGTCTATATGCAGTCAGTGTGACATGGAAAAAAATGGGATCAGAGATTAAAAAGTCGTACAGAACGGTGTGTTCAGGCCTTAACGCTCAGGAGTAAACAGTCCTTTAAAGATCTGATGCAAAGTGTTTTAAAGCTAACACATTTAAAAAACAAACTAAATAAAGAAACCCTGAAGGAAGCTGATATGTTGGAGCTTATTTCCACGCTGCAGTGTGATGCGTTTGGTCGCGGAACAGAGAGATTAAACGGTGAATGGATGCTTCATAAATCAGCTGAGGAACAGCGATTGGCTAAAAACTACCGTGGTTTCATTTCTACCCCTCAGTAAACAAACATCCACAGCCTGCAGACTTAACCTGCATGTTTGATGCTGTAGGAAGAACAGGTTTACTCAAAGTAAGCTGTTATTTTAACCGCTGATGTCTTCTTTGTTCCTTTCTCTACCGACAGAAAGTGGGCTTCTTTAATCAGCAGTACGCTGATCAGCTCAACATGGAGGAGACGGCGTCAGAGTATCTCATGAGGAAATTCAACCTTCCCTACCAGGACAGCAGGAAGTGTCTGGGACGTTTCGGCCTTGAGAGTCACGCACACACCATCCAGATCTCCAAACTCTCCGGTACGAATCTAAACGGCTGCCGTGCGTCGCTGCGTTTCAAAGGAGGCGTCTCTGATCTTATCTGGGTTTCACTCCTAACAGGTGGCCAGAAAGCCAGAGTGGTGTTCTCTGAGTTGGCCTGCCATCAACCAGATGTCCTTATCTTGGTAAGAGCCGCTTCCCGTCTCACTATCAGAGCGTCTTTGAGCTTTATTCAGAACAGAGACCAGATGAAAGTGTTCACTCCTGAAATAACAGCATCCACAGTGGTTAGGCTGTTGGGCTGAATCTCACCCCGAAATCCCACATCCTGCTCCGCTCCAGAGCGCCTTCACAAAGCAAAGCCTACAGCCTCGGCGGTCCCTGTCCTTTAATATGAGATATTAAATAAATCCCCACCATCTTCCAGCATATGTTCCGTTTCTGTCCACAGATTTTCTTTTTGTTGTGGATTTTTGTAACGGGGATAACTAGAATCATACAAAATAATTGTTCTCTGCTCAGCATCTCTTCATTCACACCTGCAATAAGTTTGTTTTGACTGGAGTTGATTAAACTTTTAAGCATCTTGGTATAAAATGTATATTTTGATGGAGATGAGAAATCTGATTCCTGGTCTGTTGAAGTATCAATAGTTTGCATCCAATCAATTAAGTAAACGGTCTTAGTTTTTGGGAATATATAAGACTTATGCTGTAATTTCTAGGTACCAATCTGTTGTTAGAATATTTTAATTTAACAAACTGGATCTTCACGCCATTCTTTTTCCTGTTTGGTGCGATTGCAATTGTGGATCTTTAGCTGGCCGGACTGGAGTGGAGCTAAAAATAGCTTGGCTCCGTATTTTGACGGTGAAGGACGGAGAACACGGACATGGAGGGTGACATGCGCAGGAGTAGCGGTGGATGTTGAATAGTTCTTATTGATTAACATGACAGACGAGTACTCCGCACGACGTACGTGAGCAGGGCGGAGCAAAGTATGTGGCATCTGGGGGTCACTGACTGGATGCGTCTCCATCCAAATGTGATGCAAACTTTTAAAAAGTCAGAAAAAAGAAAAAATCTAAATATGAATTTGATGTGTTTCCGTCCATTGGCGCGATTGGAGGAGGCGATGCAAAGCATGTCGTCACGTTATAACGTAAAAATGGACTGTAGTAAACAGAAAATAGCCAGTTTCCCTGTTTCATATAAGTTTTAAATGTTTTCCATCCATTTTGAATGCAGCTGACACAATAAGTATTTAAATTTAATGATTAAATTTTTTTCTGAACATGGCATACCGTAGCCCTTCATGTTATGGAAAGAAGAGAAAGCTCAGCGTTTTAGAAAAAATGCAGCTTATCAATAACTTGAGTCGAACAGTAAATTAAATCAACTTTTGCTAAATTCATTAATTGATAAGTTGCATCTGTAACTGGAAGCAGGAAGATAAAGCAGCCTCAGCGCTTTGGTCTGAAAGCTCCTGTTTTAAAGGAGAGGTGATTGGTATACAGCCTCAGGCTGTCCCAGCAGCTGTTTCCACATCTGGATTTCCTGCTCATCAGGAAGCAGATGTAAACGACGTCTAAAGGTTTAACTGTGTTTTTTTGTCGTTGTTTAGGATGAGCCCACGAACAATTTGGACATCGAGTCAATAGATGCCTTATCGGAGGCCATTAATGAATACAAAGGAGGTGAGTAGTTGATACGGGGGGGGAGGGTTTTAAATTGAATCAACAGAATAAAAAAAAAAAACCTTCCTCACTTGAACGCCTCAGCCTTGGACACAGGCCACGCCCACTGGGCTCCTCAAACTATTATTAAAGGTATAGTGGAGGACGTTCTTCTTCCAGGTGGATCATCTCAATCAGTGGTTTTAATAACTGTCAATCATTCAGGTGATATGTTTAGTAAAGTTAATACTGCCACCTGCTGGATTGAAGCTGCAGTGCAGTTTTAATTGGTCCTTTCAGTGATATGAACAGCAGGTGACAGATTCCCCTTAGAGTAACACAGGGTGGATCTCTGTGGAAACGGAGCTAATGAGGCTTAGAGGACCTTGGAGATGTAAAAAAAGAAGAATCATCTTCCCATCAGGGAGGCAGTCACATTTCTGTGATTCCAGGTCTGTCTTTAGGCCTTTTAAGGTTAAACTTTTCATCTGACCGGTGTTAAAATCTGTGATAAAAGCTATCCTGAACTATTGCTCCATTATCTAATCCTGTTAAAAGAACTTTAGAGCCACAAACTGTAGCTTCCATCCAGGAAGCTTTAATTCAAAATGTCAGAAATAGCGTTGAGTTCCAGGTTTTATCCAGCAGCACCAAAAAAACCTGGTTTTAGTTTAGAAAACATGCAAATAGAAACGGATGAACGGGTCCCCCCCTTTGGAATGGGGGTCGTTTGGGTTCGTTGTTAGCCTGCATTGCCCCATACCCGTCTCTGTCTCTGAAAGGGGGGTCGTTAGAGGGAATTGTTGGCCTGGCTGAATAGGTGAGGTCCTCTGTTCCCCTGTAAAGGGGTTTGGGTTGTGATGATAGCGGGAAGGAATCAACTCCATCGCTGCATTTTAGGTTTTTAATAGCTGATGTAGCAATTGAGTTGTCATGGGAACAGAAGACCCCGCCTATTCAGCCAGGAAGCATTTAAACGTGCATCTGAATATTTATTACATGTTAGACAAACCAACAGACACGGTAAAACTAAAGTCATTCCAGAGTTTTGGACTAAAATCTACAAAAGAACCAAAGTGAAGGTTTAAACAGAACCGGACCTTAAGGCGTAACATGGACCCTGAAAGCAGGGCGGCGTTTTAGCACAAACGGGAGCCTTCAGCTCTGACTCTCTGCCTCTCTCCGAGCAGCGGTGATCATCGTGAGCCACGACGCGCGGCTCATCACGGAGACCCAGTGCCAGCTGTGGGTGGTGGAGGACCAGACGGTGAACCAGATCGAGGGAGACTTTGAAGACTACAAGAGGGAGGTGTTGGAGGCTCTGGGAGAAACTATGGTCAACAAGGTCAACCCGTGATCGGACCCCATCATCACAACAGCTGGAGAATCAGTCATTCCTCCTCTTTAAACCCAACGCTGATGCTTAATAAACACTTCCTCAGACGTCCTTTGGTTGGTTTTTATTGAACAGTTTTTAAATATTCAGGCAGGCTGATCATTTCAGAGCTTCTTTGATGATCTTAGCCTTTTAAATAAGCTTTGTACGTCTTCTTGACTTGTTCCACTTTCTTTTCATTGGGCGTTATTTCTCCGTACCACTTATACCAGGGCTCGCTGGAGAGCGGCGGCGGCGGTGGTGTGAGCCCAACGGCATCATGGGAGTTGGAGTAGTCCTCTCCTGAAAAATCCACATGTGGAATCTGAAAAGGAAGCAAACCTGAAAGGAGAAATGTTTCATCAGTCCAAACACTGACTTTTAGTGACGCTGCAGTTAAAAGTTAAAATCCAGGAGTCGTATTTATTAAACTTCATAGAATTAGTCCTAAGAGTCTGAAAACAATTCGATTAAAAGCTGGACTTTTATCAGATGTAGGAAAACATCTTCAGCGTGACTCTGATTGCGTTACGACAGAACCTGGTGCTGCTGTAGGTACCAGATCTGATTGGGGCCCCGCCCCTCCTTATGACATCATACGGCAACTCCACTTGAACAAACTGTGTTACCCCCGTTTCTTAAGGCTCAAATCTCTTTTAAAATCTCAACATGTTATTCCCTATATTTACTATTAGTTTACATTTCATTGATCTAAAGTGGCTGAAAGTAGAAAACAATCATTGTCAGTCTTCCAGGAAGCTCCGTCTGGCTGCAGGTTTTCTTTCCCACCAAGCAATAGCAACCAGACTCCTGTCATCTCATCAGCTGAGTGCAATCTGAACATGACTTGATGAGATGACTGGAGTCTGATGCTATTGCTTGGTTGGAAAGAAAACCTGCAGCCAGACAGGACTTTCTGGAACCGGTTTGAGACGCCTGGAAAGTCCTGCCTTTTAAGACAGACTGAGCTCTGCCATTTAAAGGAATAGTACACCCAAAACATGATTAGCCTTCATTTTCTACTCACCCCCATGCTGAACAACACTCTGGAGTACTTTTTTGATATCTCAAATGCATCTGGAGATCTGGGAGGCTTCTTGCTGTCTGCTGACATTCAAATAATGGAGGTCTATGGCGCCCGAGACAGAAAGGTCCATAAAAGTCCACAAAAAACGTGTCAATATTCCTCCATACTGCTCGTCCAATGTATTCCAAGTGTCCTGAGTGGGTAGCGTCCATAATTTACTCGAAACGAAGTCATTTAGAATGTTTTTAGAGCATAAACAGTAGTGTATAGGATTTCCTAAAAGCGCGCTCACGAGTCTACGGAAACCGCGGCAGACCAAACCAGATGAAAGTGCGCATTCAGCGTCTGCTCTGCCGATAATGCAAGCGTAGAAGAAGAAATGTGCTGTTTACCTGTGCAAAGAAAGAAACAACGAAAGAAAAATGTCTGAGGACTTCAGTGTTGAGGAAGAGCATGAGTTCTTTGCCGAGCTGAATGCGCACTTTCATCTGGTTTGGTCTGCCGCGGTTTCCGTAGACTCGTGAACGCGCTTTCAGGAAATCCTATACGCTACTGTTTATGCTCTAAAAACATTCTAAATGACTTTGTTTCGAGTAAATTCTGGATGCTACCCACTCAGGACACTTGGAATACATTGGACGAGCAGTATGGAGGAATATTGACACGTTTTTTGTGGACTTTTATGGACCTTTCTGCCTCGGGCGCCATAGACCTCCATTATTTGAATGTCAGCAGACAGCAAGAAGCCTCCCAGATCTCCAGATGCATTTGAGATATCAAAAAAGTACTCCAGAGTGTTGTTCAGCATGGGGGTGAGTAGAAAATGAAGGCTAATCATGTTTTGGGTGTACTATTCCTTTAACAAGGTGACAAAAGTTTAAACTTATTTTTATTAAGATCTGAGGGCAGAGGAGGACAGATGGGACATCCTGAAAAATGACTTTCTTAGAGATTTTAGACAAATAAAACAGTTGCTGACACAAATTTAAAAGTAGTGTAGCTTATTATTGCTAAAAGAGGCTAACCTGTTAGCCACAGCGCTTATATCATGGTCTAACAGTTACATTGTTCACCAGAAACGGATTCATTAGACACGCTAACGCTACAGATGCCCCAGACTCTGCATGATGTTATCGTTGTCTGGGCAACCACTATGTTTTACATCATGTGGCAACGTTCAGCCAATCATGTAGCGTAACGTGACTGGCATGCATAGCGCCCCCTAGCAGATCTGCTACCTACACTGTAAATGGACTTCTAGATGATGTGACATCATCAGCCGTTTACTGATGGTCCAGTATCTCCAGAGCTACTGATTAAAATCTGTTGAACCAACTGAAAACACCTACATAAAAAAATGTTATTAATATTGTTCTTATTTAATTCAGTTTATATATGAAGCAACAATTGACAGGATGAATCATCTCAGGGATCTTTCAACAGATAATACTGGTTAGAACCAGGTGATTGCATCCAGTCATGGGGTGCGTTTGATTTCAGAGACTGCGTCCTCCAAGGACCCGGTCTGTCTGGATCCTTGGAGGTCCGTGAAAATAAGACGACTGGCTGAATTCAAACAGGTCCAGCCTTCTGCAGCTTTCACCGCCTGTACGCTCTGTCGCCTAGCAACCGTGAGAGTTGACGCACAAAGCAGGAAAAGAATGTCACCGAACTTCCCACTGCTTTTTATTTTTATTTAATATTTTCAAGGAGCTTCAGCAGCAGCAGCACTATCAGATTTATATTCCCACTGCAGAGATATTAGAATCTGTCATTAAATGTCAGTCAAACCTATTTACACATTAACAGATAAAACCTTTCAATAAATCTAACATTCCCGCCACATGAATTGGAACTCAGTGATTGATTTTCAAGTCACGCTCCTCCTGGATGAGCCTGCAGTAACGGACCTTGGCTTGGATTTTGTCCCTCACTCTGAGCATGCATGCAGCGATAGTAGAGAGAAACTTTTTCCCCAGACATGTTGCTGTACCCCACCAGAGTAAACTGAAAACACTATTTGTATGTTATACAGCAGGAGGAATGGACACGTTTATCCTTTGAACATTACCTTTGGAAATGGAGCAATCTCAGCTTTTTTTCATGCAGGACTAATAAAAATAAAATAAAATGGCTAACAGGCGTTCATTTTTTAAGTTACTGCATTAGACGGTGAGTTATTTATGTCTCCATGCATTTGTAACACGCAGCAACAACTTTGTAATCTAATGCGCCCAATTTATTAAAGCCTGTCATCAGGATGATCCCATGGCCGCACTCAAGTGATTCATTTTGACATCATCTATATTCTGACTGATGTTATCAGATGTTATTCTGTGAGAAACGCAGTTCCTACTCCACTTCCTGTTAGAGCATTGGAATGGTTTTTAATTCCAGCGTGAAGCTCTGCTGCATGTGGTTCCGGGTGAGTTCGGGGGGGGGGATTTACCTTTAGGCAATACTAGGCAGCTGCCTAGGGCCCCAAGTTCCTGGGGGCCCCATAGAACTCTTTTTACATGTATGGTTAATACAACTATTCCTTATTTGTGCACATTAATTATGCACTTTAGTCGCTATATTTAGCCACTTTTCAGACCCCTCTAGCACTTTGATTTCTAAAAAGCCCCTAGCACCAAATCTAGAGACTTTTTTCTGCTACTGGAGACTTTGGAGACAACATCTAAAAGCAGCGAACTCTGCTCTCCAGAGCGAGTAGATTGGTAACCCCGCCTCCTGCTCTCCTCTATCTTGTCTGCTGTCATGATTCATGCAGCTATTATTTCATCCAAATGAAAAATGGAGAACAGATAAGCAGATCATGGCTTGTCTACAGTGAAAAGAAGGACTGGGTTATTTACTTTGGCCTTTTTGGAAACACAGGAAGGAGCAATCAGCTAAGTGAGCTTAGTGCTTGGAAAAAATCTTTCATTCCTTTAGAGACAGCATGAAAAGTCAGCTGAGTACAAAACATAGAGAGGAAAACAAGAAGAAAAGGGACAAGAAGAGAGGGACACAACCTAGAACAGATAATGGATGTCTATTCTATTAACATTTCTCTATCTGGAGAATGGGGCTGTTTGATGTGTTCTCATTCAGAGGGCCCCCTGCCTGTCTTTGCCTAGGGCCCCAAATTTCCTAAATCCACCCCTGGGTGAGATTACACCCCTCATTTAGTCCTTAACCAGATTATAGCTGCTCTGTCCAAAAAAAAGAAAGCGTTTCATCATCGCTGTGTGTCGTCAAAGTCAAAACCGTCTTCAGCTCTGGTTGTTTTTAAAGGCTGATCAAGGCTGAAGAACCTGAAACGCCTGGTTAATAGATTTTTGATGAATCTATTTTCTTTAAGAAGCTGTTCTAACAACTAGATGCCACAAACAGACACGCTGCTTCTTAACCTTTTGGTTTTCCCCTCATTAAACCTAACTGAGCCGTTTAGAGCAGAATTTCTTACCATCGTCTCTGGCTTTGTTGATGGCTTCGTTAAGCTTCTTCTGTTGCTTCATACAAACACCTGAGGAAAGAAGACAGGAAACAAAAATAAAAAACAGGAAATGTTTCATTAGTTGCTAAGCTTCATGCCTTCATAGATCCAGAGCTGGGCTTACCGGTCAGAGTGGGGTCATACACCATTCCAGTGTGGGGACTGATAAACTGCTGGAGTAACTTCACGTTCTGCAAGCAACGAGACCAGGGGTTATTACGCTTCCCAAAAAGAGCGGTCCGACCTGCAAATGTTTCCTCCCAGAGCGCAGCCGCCCTTAAAGCAAACCTAACTGCCTCCACAGGAGCCGCAGCAGAGCTGGAAAACTTTGGGTTTTATATCCACGTCTTCAGATGGCAAACAACGATTTAGACAAGAAGAATAAAACCTGAACAGGTTTAGGGGCCGATTCTGAAAATAATGTTTGTACATCTTAAACTATCAGCAGATTCTGATGGAAACGAGGGATGAATGGCAGCATTTGTTTTTTTATTCACACATTTGTATTTTCATAAGAGTAGAAGTCATTTGGAAGCAGGACTCCCTAACAGCTAACAGGAAGGAGCCTGTGGACACCGGGAAAAGTACCAATGCGCGGGAAAAAAGAGACGAGAAAATGAAATATGGCAAATTAGCTACATTTATAGGAACCATAAACCTAACAAACAAATACAAGGAATGATTTCACAGAGTGGATACGTTCAGTAGCTAAATGCTTTAATAGACATATGACTTTAGGAGTTTTTGTAAAGTTTTAGATCATTTCAACGCTTTGATCGCATCATCGGGATTATTCCTCATCTGTGGTTCCCTCCTAGTGACACTCAGTCTGGTGCTTTTTTTTTTAATCAGTTGCTCACTCCTGGTATCATGATTATGCAGAAGGTGAATAAGCTCCGACAACCTGCTAATGTTCTTGTTGACTGTTGGTGCATCGTGCATCCAGTCTGAGATGGATCCAGCATCACGGATGCGTCTGGATCGCTGCGCGTATCGTTTCAAGGAAATCGCATGACTGACGATGCAGGAGCTGTTTCACAACTGACTGACAAACTAAACTGTGCTTATAAGCGGATCTGTCAGCAACAAAAAATCTCAGATATTTGCTTTTTATTCTTAAATCAATGAGATATGAAGCAGCCTGAAGCAGAAAGGTTTCAGCCGAGTGGGACAATTTTGATCTCATGTTTTAATTTTCTCATATATCTGATTCCTTTCAGTTATCAAATTATCTGAAATCAAATGGACTTAGTTTGCTGTTCTTACTGTAATTATTTTAAATAAATAAATCCTAGTCCACAAACATCCTTATTCACATGTTCAATTACATTTTCCTGTTATATCTTCACATTTATGGATTGAATCTAAAAATATGAAACATATTTTCTATTTAAACAAAGATATGAAATAAAACAGCAAACGATGGACTGAATCATATTAGAGGTCATCAAATCATTGTTTAGTCTGTCAAACACACTGTCTGCAGTGATTTGAAACGTCCAGCAGGTGTCAGTATTCAGCTCAGTGTGTCATCAGGTCATCTGCGCAACTTTTACAAAAAGAAATTATGTTTTTCCCTCCATAAATATAGTTAGCATATTAAACATCGAAAAAAAAAAAAAAACGTTAATGTTTTTCCTGAGAAAATAAATAGACGTTTTATGACGCATCTGTGCCAGAAATGGGATCCTATGCTATTTCCCGGAGCTAACTTATTTAGCTTTGGATTTAAACATATAGTGAAGATAATAAGTATGTGAACACCCTGCTAATTTGCAGGTGCTTTTAGAAATCATGGAGGGGTCTGAGACAGTGGATAAAGTCAGACTTCAGTATCAGCATCACTTTTAGTTTCTGAAAAGCTAGAAAACCTTCAGAGCTTCACTTACCTGATGGTGGATAATGATGTTAGGGTCTCTGCAAATTGGACAGGGATGCCCGCATATCTTGTCTCCTCTCTAAAGAAAGAAAAACACCAAAAATGTTGTGTTTCTTTTGAACAGCAGAGCCCAGAGAGGTTATTTCTGTTGTGGGGGTAAAACTTTACAATGCAGGTCCTCCGTGTCTTCTGGGGGGGGATGCCTCCTTTATGGTTCCGCCTGTAACCCGTCCACACCGCCCTGCTCCCATAGCGCTCTGCATATTCTGTTAGACACAAGGAGGCATGCTGCAGCCCACAGTTCCAGAATTAGACAATAAAGGCATCCTTTTCTATGGGGAGCCATTGGTGAAGATCAGCAGTTAATAAAATATTTCAGGGTATTAAGCGTTTTTAAAGGAGAAGTCCGCTCATATTCAGAATTAAAAATTCTGAAAGTACTTTAAGTAGGAAATGATTCCATCCTGTTCAATAAATGATCAGTGTTTTTAATTCAGAGTAATTTTCATGTGAATGTGCTTTACTGGAGGCATCCATGTTTGTCAAAGAACACTACTGCCACCTACTGGTTAGTGACGTCACGGTGCGGTATCGGCTGTTGATCAAGTCCCAGTGCTGTATCTGGTGTTTGTCACAACGCGCTATTATCCAAGTCATCTTGAAAACATTCTTCTTCCAAATGTTGGCTACATATTACGGGTTTTTTCTCTGGCCAGAAGTTCCATGGAAAATCGTATTCCAGCATCCAGCTGCCATGCACGTGGGCATTGTCAGTTTCACTATAGCTCTGGTGAATTTCAATGGTGAAGTCCTCTGGAAATCTTCAATAATTGTTGTTGATTGCAGATGTGTCTAGTAGTTCCCATTGATTTAGCTTGGAAAGCGGGGAGAATGGCGCTAGGCTTACCGCACCGTGACGTCACTGCTGGAAGATGGAAGGAGGGAGGGGTTACTATTGCTCTATTCGAAAACCTAGGACGCATCCTTAGAAGGCCAGATTCGAAGGCCGATTACGTCATGGCGCGGCGCCGAGGTCTGGTCAGATTCCAAGAGTCCTCGTTATGCGGCCTTAAAATGTGTCCTTCTTTTTGCCTGAAGGACGGGTCTGATGTATCCTCGGTATCCTTGGATATCCCAGGATTCATTGCGAGACCAAGCAAGCCGTGATCAGAGGAAAGGTTACTTGGCGCCGAACGGTGGTGAAAATTGGAAGTTCAGTTTAAATTAATTAAATCAGTTGTTTTAATGGTTATAGAGTCAGATATGTGGCGGTAATATTTGATTCATCTAAAGGTTTTTATCTGTTACTGTGTAAATGAGTTTGGCTGGAATTTAAGGACAGATCCAGTCTCGGTAGACCGCGTCCTTGGAGGATGCAGCCCAGGATTTCGAACAGAGCCTCTATTTGGGCAAAAATGGCTGCTCCCAGACTTTTACTGATTAGCTCTAAATTCATTAAATCACAGCAAACATATTAATTTCAGGTATAAATAATGATCCATTGATTATTCCTGCTGACCGGACTTTTCCTCTAAGAGAAAAATAAGTGGGTTATTTTTTTCCCACTATGTAATTTATTCATTTAAATTAATTTTAAGTTCAAACTAAATATTACTTAAACAAAAAATATGTAGCTAGCTAAATATCTAGTTTGCAGATAAAACATTTAGTTTGGAGCTAAATATTTAAATATTTAAGTTTAAATATTTAGTTAAAATGATTAATATTTAGTTTGCTGACAAACTTAGATTTTTCTAAATGACTTAGTGTAATATCGCAGCTCCAGCTCTCACCCCCCCCATCCCTTCGGTACCTTCGCTGTCCAGGTAGTCCCACGGTCTGTCTTTGTACCGCTCCAAACTCTGGGCAGCCTGGAGGTCAGGGTCCGCCTCCTTCTGCCGGGAGGCCGCGGAGCTCCAGAAATGATGGGAGAACACAGCGGAGGGAGGCGGAGGAGTCTGGAGGAACAGCGGCCTCACCTGGAGCCTCTGCAGGCAGGGCTGAAGGAGAGAGAAGCGCATCAAGACCCGCTCTGTCACCATGGAAACCTCTTTATTTCACAACTCAAACATTAAAAAGACATTTATCACACCTGATAGTAACGATACTGGAGTGGAGCTGAAGTCAATTCACGAGAAAATATCCTGAACCCGTTCATCATGTAAGCGGCCATGTTGCCTTCCTCTTCGTGTTGTTTAACAACGTTCGGTGCATTACTGCCACCTACTGGAAGGGAGAGGGAACGACCTCAAAATAACCAAAAACCCTCAGACCCTACGGGGGGGTTTAACTGCAGTTTGCATCCATTATTGTTGCTCTGCCGCCATCTGTCGGATCCTAACATCTATCCCTCTAAATTCTCTTAATGATCCCAGTTTTATTTGTTTTTTAAACTTCATCTTCCCTTCATTACTATTTAACCTTTCAACCATATTCACATATTTAAATTACCCATTAAAATTTAATTCTGTTCGTAATTATGATCTTTTATTTACATATTTTCAACAACTAATAAAAATGTGTTTTATTGCTTCTACATTATCACACTAACTACAGAAACCAGTGAGATGTTTCCCCATCTTGAAAAGATTTCCATTAAAAAAATTGTGACCAGTTCTTATTCTGTTTATCTCCAGTTTATTCCTCTAATCTTTGCTACATCAACTGTATTTTCTATCCTATACAAATGCCTTCCATTTATTTCATTATCACCTCCTAATCTTCAATATCTTCTTGCTTTTTCTCCAAGCTACACTTTGCCTTCAGATTTGAGTAACTTTTTATTTTTTATTTTTATAACTTTTATTTTCATAAATCCAAAAAACACTTTCAGAAAAGCAGAAACGTACAATTGAACATATGCCACCCATAACAGTTTTTCTTCCAGAAAAAGAAAAAAGAAACAATATAAAAGAATGAGAAAGAAAATTAGAATTAAATGAAAAACACAGGGGTTTAACTAAAGTATATTGCTATCAAGTCTGAAAACTTTAAGGCCTTATTGTTCTCCAGTAACTTAATCGAGGCATGAAAACTTTTAATATCATTTTGGAATGCTTGAAAATTTGGAGAAACTTTAAAGAATTTGCACTTGTGGATAAAGAATCTTCCCATAATAAAAATAATATTACATAAAAATTCCACATTTGTATCATGAAAAGCAATGCAAAATTTAACTCTTTTATATTCCAAATTAGGAATCACATTTTTCGTTGATAACCAATCATAAATCTTGTCCCAAAAAGCATTAACCACACAACAATTGTAAAAAAAAAAAAAAAGATGTTCTTGTGTTTCTAGATCTTTCTGACAAAAGTTACATACATTAACATCAAATTTAAATCTTAAACTTAAGAACTCTGCACAGGGATATATATTATTTATAGTTTTAAAATGAACTGCTTTCATCTTTGGTAATATAGGAAATGAGAAAAATGAAAACACGTTTAAAGATAAGTTTCTCTTAACTGGGAGAGGAAAAAATTGTATTGTTTATGTTCTCTCATCATTTTGTTATTAAATTTGAGATCCGTAGAATCGTAATTATAAGAAGAGTGGGAAAGATGGGTGTTACATCAGAATATTGAACCATTCCTTTGACCAAATTTATCATGGTTGCCAGAATTGCCCTAATCAAAGATAGAAATTATTCCGTGGACAATCTAAATTATATTTTCTTTTAAATATTGTGTAATCCAGAATATCACCCTTGTACCATGTATAATGGCCCAGATACCTTTTTCCTCCCATTCTCTGTAGTATAGAGATTTTCTCTTATACAAAATAAATTTGTTATTCCAAATAATCATATAATGCAGCGTAAAATTGTGCTTGTGTAACATTTTCCAATACTTTAGAACTTATGTGTGGTAGACTGATAATTTAATCGGTAATTTCACAGGATCAAAGTTACATCTTAAGAGAAATTTTATTCTTCTAATTTTTGGAAAAAGTTATGAAGGGAAACTAAACCATAAACTTGTTTCATTTTTAATAAAAGTCTGCAGCCATTTTAATTTTATGACAGCATCCATTACTTCAAAATCAATAACATGTATTCGTCCTTTTTATACTGACTTTACTAAGTCGTTCTTTCTGATCAGATGTTGTTTATTATTCCATATGAATTTGATTAATTCTTTTTTTTATCGTAGTATTTGTTATATTCAAGGCATATGCTGAATAAATTAGTCTGGCTATCCCTTCCATTTTTGTTAATAATATTCTTCCAGAAATTGAAATGTTCCTTTGAAGCCAGCTGTTAAATATTTGTTGATTTCTTTTGTTTGTAAAATTGGTTGAATATTTGTTCTTTCATTTTCAAATATTTTATCTTATTTTTTGCTTTGATATTATGAATTAAAGTGGATTGATTATTTTGAATTGCTATGATTTCACATTTTTCCATGTTCAATTTCAAGCCTGAAGCTTTTGAGAAGAAGGAAACTGCTTCTGAAATTAGGGATTTGGTCGATTTGAGTAACTTTACTGGCATATTATTATCTTCTTTCCTCGTCTTCTTGTTTAACAACGTTTGGTAAGGTGCATTACTGCCACCTACCGGAAAGGAGAGTGAACGACCTCAAAATAGCGAAAAACCTTTAAATACTATAGAGGGCTTCAATGAGGAATGGCCCTGACCCACTTCCACTTGTTCGATCTCGCTGAAACTTTATTATTAATATCTCTATATATTAAAAAGGCAAATTGCAGCTCAGAACTAATTGTGGTTTCTAATTTACAGGTGGTTGAGCTGAGTGAAGTCTGAAATTAATGCTGCGTTAATACAGTCTCGCAGAATAGTGACACCTGCTGGACATTTAAAGTACTATAGGCAGCTTATTTTACACAACTAACCGAACACTGATGAGGGCTCCATGCAGGCACCCAGGGGTGTATTTAGGAAATTTGGGGCCCTAGGCAAAGACAGGCAGGGGGCCCTCTGAACTGAGAAGACAACGCATAAAACAGACCCATTCTCCAGATAGAGAAATGTTACTAGAATAGACATCCATTATCTGTTCTAGGTTGTGTCCCTCTCTTCTTGTCCCTTTTCTTCTTGTTTTCCTCTCTATGTTTTGTACTCAGCTGACTTTTCATGCTGTCTCTAAAGGAATGAAAGATTTTTTCCAAGCACTAAGCTCACTTAGCTGATTGCTCCTTCCTGTGTTTCCAAAAAGGCCAAAGTAAATAACCCAGTCCTTCTTTTCACTGTAGACAAGCCATGATCTGCTTATCTGTTCTCCATTTTTCATTTGGATGAAATAATAGCTGCATGAATCATGACAGCAGACAAGATAGAGGAGAGCAGGAGGCGGGGTTACCAATCTACTCGCTCTGGAGAGTAGAGTTCGCTGCTTTTAGATGTTGTCTCCAAAGTCTCCAGTAGCAGAAAAAAGTCTCTAGATTTGGCGCTAGGAGCTTTTTAGAAATCAAAGTTCTAGAGGGGTCTGAAAAGTGGCTAAATATAGCGACTAAAGCGCTAAGTTGGCAACACTGCTCTTTGCATGGTTTGTTTTCAAATGGTTTGCTGCTGTCTGTTTGGACCTTTCTGAACATGTGCAGCAAATGGACTGATCCAATATGGTGGACACTGAAGGGGGGGGCTGAGACACACTTAATATTATCAGCATTCTGATGGCATTTTAGCCAAAGAATTTTTATTAAAAACATAATTACTCTGCAAAAATAAGGAATAGTTGTATTAACCATACATGGAAACAGAGTTTTGTGGGGCCCCCAGGAACTGTTTCTGTGTTGAACAAAAAAGTATTGACCAGGAAATACAAAACAGGTTTAAATTAAAGCTGCTCTGCAGGAAAATGTGTCTTCCAACGTTTCTTGATTTCTCACCACCTCTTCTGCCAGCATCAAAGGTGCTGGAAAAGGTTTTGGTGTTGTAGCTTCGGAAGCATCAGTTGGACGGTTGGGGAGAGTAGAAATGAGAAAATAGTGAGAAAAAAGCAATATATGGAGCGTAGAGACAGACTATCATATTGGTAAAGCTCTTTCCTGTAAAGAAAACCAAGGTGTTAGTGACTACTTAGACCTTTCTGAACATGTGCAGCAAATGGACTGATCCAATATGGTGGATACTGAAGGGGGGGCTGAGACACACTTAATATTATCAGCGTTCTGATGGCATTTTAGCAAAAGGATTTTTCTCAATAACATAATTGATGTAATAAGGTAATAGTTGTATTAACCATACATGTAAATAGAGTTTTTTTGGGGCCCCCAGGAACTTGGGGCCCAAGGCAGCTGCCTAGTATTGCCTAATAGTAAATCCCCCCCTTTCAGAACAATCTGAAAATGAATAACAGAACAATAAGTGAAATATTGATCACCTTCTGTCTAATCGAACATTACTGTCACATAAAAACTGAGATAGAAATATGCTGATGAAGATTCTCAGTCATCCAGGTTATTCCATAAAAGTTTAAAAAACAATCCACTGGAATTGGTTTCCAACGTTTGAAGAGTTTTTGCTTCCCCTCCAGGAAGCTTTCTCAGTTCAAATGTCTGGATCCGCAGTGAGATTGAGGCTTTATATAGACAAGGCATAAACTTACAATTCAGTTATAGAGATGATCCCTTCCAGGTATCACCACACCCCCCACCCCATCACAGAGGAACAAAGTACCTCCTCTCTTCAGCCAGGTGAACAATCCCTCCTTTAACAACCGACCCTCCGAATCATAGACAGGTTTCAGGTAGTAATGGAACCAAACGACCCGTTCATCGGTTTCAATTTGCATGTTTCCATGCGATACAAGGACTTGTCTATATGAAGACCCTAACTTTTATGGACTGAGATAGAAATCTTTGTTCATAGCAGTATACTAAATAAACATTAACAAACTAAATATTTAGTTTGGAGCTAAATATTTATTCGACAAAGTAAGATTTTTATAAATGAATGAATGACATAGTGAAAAAAGGACTTGGAAAAATATAACACCGTTATTTTTCTCTTAAAACTCCCTGATTTTCACTCGTTATCTGGCGCCCCATATCAAACTATGGGTTCCTGATTTTGGAAAGAGTTTGCTTGGAAAATAATTATGAGATACTTCTTGACTTCAGAAAGTTTGAGTAAATATAAAAAGGTAAACTGCAAATGTTGGAGAAATAGTGGAGAGGAAAATAGTACACATATTTCTATACTTGTGAAATAATACAACCTTACTGGAAAGAAGTATTTCAAATAGTTGAAGTGAGACCGGGAAAGAA